AGTACAGAACGAGATAGTAAAAAGCCTTTCTTTGCTTTTAATCTGCATTTTCTGAATAGTAACCTGCTTTTACATTATAGAGATACATAGCTTTGCAGAAGCAGAAACAGATGTTGAAAGAGCAGAGGTCATTTTACAACTGACTGATACGATGATGTTTTAATTGCAGGACTTTTGGATTTGGCTACTTCATACTGTGAGAACAGACTGAAAAAACTGTGTCAGCACATTATCAAGAGAGGAATTACTGTGGAAAATGCATTTTCATTGCTCTCTGCTGCTGTCAGATATGATGCAGAGGTAAACTTCTAAAGTTCAATCTCTTAAATGGGTGGCTGCTTCCTGACTTAAACTACAGAGATAAGCAGCTGGTTACATTTTCATATAAGCTCTCTCTTACTTTCATTTAATACTATTTGCCATTTTCAGAATTTGAGAATCTTGGGCTTGCACCTCATGGCAAATACAGTTTTTGTATCTCATTTTTTAAGTTTTAGTTTTTCCTTATAACCAGTACTGGGAAGGTGAACTAGTACGCAGATATTTCTGAGGATGAAAGTACTAACTCAAAAACAAGGGGAGAGTGTAAACAGAAAGAAAAAGCAACATAATGAAAAGCAGGCTTTTAAGCCTTAAGTTACTTATTTGTAAGGCTGTGTGTTGTGTGTGATGACATGGTGGTAGGTTGGTGTTTGAGTGCATTTGGGATTTTTGGTTTTTTTGGTTGGTGGGGTGGGGTTTTTTTGGCTTTTTTGTTTTGTTAGGTACAGATACACTTCCAGTTTTCAGAGTATGCTAATGAAGTGTCAGGCTAGGAACTATTTCATGGGCCTTATAAATGTTGATGACAGAGTACATTGTATGAAGAGGGGAGTGAAGCCTCCTCACTGTGGAATGTCTGACTTCACTAGTAGATCCCTAACATGCTGCTTTAGGAACTAATCAGGAAGTATTCCTGGGCTTGCTTTGGCTGTTTGTGTTTGTGTCCATTGTGTTGGCAACTTTGCAATTGGTTGGTTTTTGAACTTGCTACTTATGTTTATAAAGCAGTTTTTTGGTACTCAGTAAATCCACTTACTGCTTTTTCTTGTGCTTAATTTCCAGCAGCTGGCATGCAGCCTGCCCTAACTTATTTCAGAGCCTTGAAGCCTTGATGCTTGTTTGATAGATCTTACCCAAAGGCTGTGTTAGTGTCTATGTTGTGGCTTTTGATGTACTGTGAATAGTGATGTCTTTCATAGAAGTTCTTCAAAAATAGGAAGATTCCCATGTTTTGTCCCCCAAAGATGGTTTGCAGGATGGGTCTTTGGTGTGTGATTGATTCTGCCTGTAAGGGCTGTAAGAAATCCAGTTACTTTGCCTCACCTGTGCCTCCTTAGCTAAGTCAAATTAGAACCATAGGCTTCAATGCTGCTTCCAGGAGAGAATGGGTGATGCTGAGGGGTTGGGCTTTATCAAAAAGTTGGGTTTACATGCTGCAATGCTGGCAGGGGGCTTGGAATTGCTTGGCTGGTGTAGTCCATTCAGGGGGGTGTGTGCCTGGAAGACAACACTTAAAAAAAGCTGCTTCAATAATTTAAAATACCTCCATGACTCCTGCAATTTCTTTTGGTGACAGACTGAAGTGGCTCAAATTAGGTCAGGGCTAACTTCTCATTGTAGCTTTTAAAATAATCCTTAGGTGTACCTTGTGCCTTTATTCACCTAAGTCTATATTAAGTCCAGTTTGCTGGGAGCTCATCCATCTGCAAACGAAACTTAGCCTTTCTTTTTATACAAAACTTTTTATTTTCCAGAGTTACTAATACTACAATAATTCTGTTTATTGTATGCTTCTGTTGCATTGACTTGGAATATGAAGTTTTTAATAAAGCAGTGCAAAATATTGTAATGTGTATGATGTAATTTTCTTTAAAATGCTAGTTAATTCTGTTATTAAAAAATACCACAACTGTCAGTGTTCAGTTCTAATAAGCTTGTCTTTCTTTGTTGCACAGATGCCACACAAGTCAAGATCTGCAGCTTCAGAATGCCTGGTTTTAGGCCAGGATGTATTTTTATATTATTGTTGTGTCAAGAACTGGCATTGGCACACACAGTTGCTCTAGTGACAGTATTGACCTTAAGAGAAAACATGAATATTCAGTCTTTCCTACCTCATGGGGCTTAGAGTTTCTGCAAGTTTGTTATGCCTTCCTGCAGTTCCCAGTCTGCTGAGCAGCCAAGGAAGGGTGTGTTGTCACATACAGAGTCCTACAAACATCTACTAAAGAAATTAGAACGATGTGAGCAGTTGCCCTTTTGTCAGGGCTGCAGCATCCTCCTTAGAGCAGCTTAGATCTGCACCACAGAGTAGACTTCCTTCTCAAAGGAGGAGTTGGAAATAATCTGAGTGGGAAGTGTTCTGTGGGGAACCTTACATTGACAAGGACTGTGCCTTTTTTTTTTTTTTTTTTTTTTTTTTTTTTTTTTGTGCTCTTTAAGGCATCCTCTCTGTCTGACATCACCTGGGTGCAATGAGGGTTGTGAGGGTTTTTTAATTATTACATGGGAGGCACTTCCAAGTAAACTCAAATATCCAGAGCCCACTTTCTGCAAGGATTGCTGTGCTGCACTGTGTTCCAGTACTGCATTTGAATGACAGCCCTGTGAAGTACTTTGTAGCAGAGTCTGTTTCTAATGCACAGAAAGACCTTCTGCCTAATCTTTACTGTACAATCTATCCAGTCAGGATACACCTGCACTGAGCCTGGGGGACATGGACCTTGAAGGCTCTAGCTAAGCCTTTCAAGAAGCAGGAAGGAAGTCAAGCAAGCTTACAAATAGATTTGTTCATACTGTGAAAGGGAAGAGCTGAGTTTTCTTTATCCATAGTCTTGGTTATACATCATTACCCCAAGATCTCCTATTTACATGAGAGTTTCAAAGTTGTCAGAGAATGCAGCTGAAACTCTTCAAGTGTGAGAACTGAAAATAATATATGGCTCAGAACAGCTGTTTTTTGTGACTGCTGCTGTATAGTGAGAAACAAATTTTGGTTACTTCCCCTTGTAACTGCATTTATGTAATGATATATGTGGGTAGAACCATTATTTTCTGTTGCATTTACATAGTGACTGTTGGGGGGAAACACTGACAGCCACTGGGTGTGTTTGTCCAATTCGCTGCAAAAATAAAATATAAACAGGGATTTGTGCCTCAATTATATTTTTTTGTGATTGAAAGCAAAGATAACATTTCTTCTTTTTGTTTTTCCCCCCTCTTTAGGATTTAGAGGAATTCTGCTTTAAGTTTTGTGTCAATCATTTGACAGAAGTGACACAAACTACAGCATTTTGGCAAATGGATGGTCCCCTGCTAAAGGAATTTATTGCTAAAGCCAGTAAATGTGGAGCCTTTAAGAACTGAAAAAATGAGGCCGTAAGTCAAGGTGTTTGTGGGGTTCTTTTTCCAGCTACAACATAACTGTGTGGGTCCAGGCAAGTGTTATGTGGTCTCTTCCATCACAGAATGTGAAAGGCCACAGTAAAAACAAATGTTTTCAGTGCTCAAGAGTGAACTGTTGTAAAAACGTCAAGCAAAATACTCACTTGCATTTAACAAACCTGGATGCTGGATCCAGCTGAAGTATTCAGACAGAGAGGAAACGCTGCAGTGTGCAAAGGATTCCAGCTGGCGTTCCGGACTTGCCTTTCCAGCCTAGGAAATCTCCATTCTAGCACCGCCTGCTTATATTTCCATTTTACTGTTTGGGGTAGGAAAATTGTCTGACCTGAGCCACTGAATGATGTCACTTAAATCATTAACTCCCTGGGATTATAGAGAAGCAAATGGCATGGTAATCTCTTCCTGCATTTGCATGATTGTGAATGAATTGGCCATTTGCTGCGTATAATTAACCAAGTGTATCCAGTACTTCAAGTGTGCAAAAATGACGTATCTTCAAAGCCTACATAAGTGACTTTGAAGAAAGGAGTTATTAGGGAAACTAATTTGAAGTAAATCTCTATATTTGGGTATATTTTAATATAAGTTGTAATGTGTACTGTGTAATCTGTTCAAGAAATATTTATAACGCTTAATGGAAATAATTCCACTCTTCAGTGTCTTCAGATTACATTGGTTCCCTCAGAGGGGGAAGGGAAAGCTGTGTGGGATTTTGCTTTTTATTATTGTCTAAATTTAAACTACATGTAATAAAAATCACTTTTTTGTACCTCTTCACTAGCAAACTTTGGATTTTGAAGCACCAGTACTGCAAGCTTTTTATGTTAGATACAGCATCTAAGTTGCTTCATTTAAAAAGCTTCATCAAAACAACAAAGGAAAACCCAAATAAACAACAAATAAAGCCAAAAGCCAACTCATGCTATACAATGAATCCTGCTGATTTCACTGTGCCTGACAAAATTACCCATGATCTTGATTTCAGAAGTTCACAAATTTCTTTGTAGGCACTAATTTTAGACCTCAGTGGTTCACTCTATGGATCTGATTTTTTTATACTAAGTTATCCTTAAGTGGCTGTAACCCTTCAGAAGGTATGTATGGACATCCTTATCATTCTTACTGTGTTTAATATCAGCTTATTACTGCATATTTGGTTTGAGTCGGTTTTTTTTTTTAGGCTGAGTGGCACTGAAGTCCTGGCCTTGGGCAGTAAACCAGTGATGTTTCTAGGCCCAGAAGGGCAGCAGACTTGAACTCTAAGCATTTAAAATCACTGTTATTTTATTGAATCGGGCACCTTATAGTTCAAGAGCTCGTTTTGAATGCTGTTACTCTGTGCTTATCAATGCCCACCTTCCTACAGAAGGAATTCCAAGTGGTCATGAAGAGAGTACAGCTGTTGTAGCATGTGCCACACCAAGTGGTGTTTGCCAGTGCTCTGCTTGTCCCTCAGCCAAGGGCTGGGTAAAGCACAGCCTGACAGCATTCCCTTTTCTTGGGCATGTCCTGTGCAGCGGCTTAGGGACAGGGAGCACAACTCCATGCACAGCTCCTTTAAAAAATGTTTTATTTCATTAATTTAGCCTGTTGTGGCTAAACAATGCATTTCTGTATTCAAACAATATTTTAAAGACAAAACACATGAAAGTTGAACCCTTTCTTAAAGGATAAAGGAAGATGCAGTCACTGCTTTGCCCCATTTGACATTTTATCTTTTCTGAATGCCCACCCCTTTCTGGTCTGCCTGCAAACACTGCTTTACCACTGCCATTGCAGCAGAAACAGTACACCTTGACCCATCAATAAAGAAGAGTAATTGGGTTTTTTAAATTAAATTCCTATTTATAATCCAGAAGACTTCTTTTGAGTGCAACTTCTGCTCATTTTTTTTGGAAAACCAAAGCAGCACTATGATCCTTCAAACATCACTGTCTAGACAGACAGTGAAGCAGCTACTGCCCAGCCAGGAGCAGGCTCCCATAGTTTTAAATTACTTTAGCAAGTGTTCTGTGGCAGCTGAACATTCCCTTGGCTTTGAGAAAAAGTCTTCCCTGGAGGGTTCTCTTGGGTTTTTGCAAAAGCTAAATTTGGTTTATAACATTTATATTCTATTGTGCAATATAAATGGAAATTTATAGTGGAACCAGGCAAAAACTTGAGGATGAAAATTTGAAAACTGGAAGTTATTGCAAAAGTGAGGTATAAAAAGGCATGTAACACCACATTCTTGCACCCATTCAGCCCTCATCTTAGGGAATTGGGCACTGACCAGACTGCTCTGGTTTTTTATCATTAGAAAATCCTAACAATTGCACCATTGCAGAGAGAGGTTATTCAGACACTGTACTGGATGTACTGGCTGTACTGGCTGTGTTCTCTAGAGTAGGAAGGATGGCTTCTTTTAAGTCCTGCAGTAGCTCAATCTTGTGATCCAGTCTTTTTCTGTTTTCCAGAAGTTTCTGGATTTTTTCTTCTGTTCCTATTATGAAAAAGGGATAAAAAGCTTTCATTATTAAGGAATAAAAACATTTTAATATTTAAGTATTACTAATATAAAATACATATTAATTAACTCTGCAGAGCTACCACTGCTTGGTTTAACCTACAATAAAACCTTTGCCTTTTGGCAGCAATGCTTGTAACCCACTGCCCTGCACACCTTGTGTCTTCACAAAGAGCTGAACTCTGTCTGCTGAGAGCCTGGATGGTGTGTCAGAGGAAGCACAGAGCAGGAGTCACATACTCTAACAGAGCTAGTTTTGAGATTAAAATAGCTCCGTATATGTAAAAATTACTAGCTTAGCTACTAATCCTCTGTGTTAACTGGCCTATGAGCTGTAAAGGTTCTGTTTTCAGAGCCCATTTGTGTGAGAATTCCCCCAACAATGATGTATTTTAAATCTTTAAAGACATCATCTCTAAATTACACTCCTAAAGCAAATTTACAAGCCGAATGGCTTTTAACCAACAACAAAATTAAACCTAAGACCAGATGCTTTGGACAACTGCATTCAACGACTCGACTCTCAAAAATACAATTCAATAGCATTTATTCTTCTGCTTCTGGCAAAATCATTATTGACAGTATCCTGATGGGATTAACCAAGTTGTTTACCTTATTTGCAAAGCCCTGCTTTACTGCATTTCTGCTTCCCTCTCCCTAGTGTTAAAGATTATTGAAATGAGTGAGAGCTCAGTAAGGAACCCTGCCAGTATTCAGAAGCATTACCACAACCTTACAGTGTTAATTGCAAGTTTTAAATGAAGCACCTGCTTTGTTCAGTTAACACACCAAGGTCTTGGTGACCTCTGAGCAGCAAGGCTTGTCTATGAACAACAAATTACTTCCTCAGTGTGTGACAATGTTTAGAGTTCAGATTCTTGTAAGAAGGAGAAGACATTTTGTACAAGCTGAACGTATCTTTCCTCTTTTGGGGAAGAAGATGTAGAAGGATGTCTCTGAAGTTCAGTGAGTAAAGTGGAGAAATCCTCTCCAGATGTTTACCCTATGCCACTCAGAATAAAAGAGCCTTAACTGATTTTTTAAAAAAAAAAAAAAGGAAAGCACTTTGGCCTTTTGCCTCCCTGCTGCTTCTTCCTCTGTAGTGAGAAAGCACAGCACCTGCTGCCTGTGGGTGGATGTGGAAGGTGATGGGCATGGACACATTTTTAAATCCATTACCCAAAGCTGCGTGTGGGTGTTGAACATGGGCAGCCAGAGCACTGTTGGTGCCTGCTGCCCATGGGAAAATCTGGTAGCATTCACTGAAGAGGGGCCTGGTGCCCCAGCCTAGCTCTGACTGAAGAGAAGGAGATGCCCCTTCCCTCTGCACTCAGATGACACATACTTGATGAAGTTGGACATGTACAAGTGGAACCAAGGGAAAAAGCTCGCTCTCTCTTCATCTGGATATTAATTAATTATCAGAAATTAACAAAGCAGCTCAGTTGGTTAGAACATCGTGCTGGTAATGCCATGGTTATGGGTTCAATCCCCATATGGGCCACTTACTTCAGAGTTAGACTCAGTGATCCTTGCAGGTCCCTTCCAACTCAGAACTCTCTCATCCTGTTGATTCAGCATTTGGGAGAGCTACAGATGGAACACACACAGCTCAGACACACAGCTAAGTTTCTCTTGGGCCAAAAGGATGTGGCAGAAATAGAAGTAGCCCAGATAAAGATATCAGTGATAGGAATGACTGGCCTACAGAAATGCTTCCACAGGAAGACGGGTAACAGATTGGGAACCTTCCACCTCATAGAGGAAATGAGCTGAAGGGAAAGCAAATGTATTTCTGTAATCAGGAATGGCCTGAGGGATGTGGACCTGGAATGACTGCCCCAAGTGCTATGGGGCTCTCACTGAAGGAACTGCACAACAGTTTTAAAATTAAGTATCATGGCCTTTGTCCCACAGCCTTTGTCTGAATTGCGGAATTTGCTGCTGCAAACCTCCTGAAAACAAATGTTGTCAAGGAGCTCAACAGCTTCTGTCCAGACTGTTGACCAGCACAGAGAGGGAATCTGATGGAAGCATCCTGCCCAAGCAGAGTGCATGACAGAACTGAAAGCAAAACTAAGTCACTTTCCCTTGGAGGAGAGGAAAAGAACCTCCACCCTAGAAATCTGAAACTGCTGCTGAGTCGACAGCATATCCTCTGTGGAAAGTTTTGAATGCAGTTGAGTTTGCAGTAAAGCTGCACACTGCAAAAGGAGTGTGGATCCCTGTATAGAGAAAGGGATTTTAAAAAGCCCTTTCGCCAGCTACAGTTGTGTAGCTGTGCTGTGCTGGCATGTAAGGCTTCAGAACAGGTTTTGCATGATGATTCAAGAAGTGACAAAAAGATTGAATTTAAAGCATGGCATATGACCCAAAATCATCAGCTTGAGACACAGTATTTATACCAGTCCTATTTTATGTAGTCCTTGACTTATGTCACCACAGAGACTTGCTACATAGAGCTTATAAAAGGTTATGACAACACGAACAATAAACAACAACAACAAAAAAAAAAGCAGCTGTGATTTGCTTCCCCCTCTACAGTTTCACTTGTAATTAACATGGTTTTCATTTTTTTCTCACTGCTTCATGTTAAGAGCTCCTCTTGGATCAGTTTTGGAACCAACCTCATTATTATTGACCTTGAAATTAAATGGTCTCAGAAAAGATTGTGTGGCACAGGAAGAATTGAGCTGCTTGAGTTGTGGGGATTTAGAGAGGGGACAACTAGTACCCATGAGAATCACATGGTTGTGTGCAGGGAGGTGCCAATATAAAGAGATTTTCTTGTAAGCTGAGAAGGGGATGAAATAATTGATACAGCAGTGAAAGAAACAAGTGTGACCCAAGGTTGTGTCACATGAGGAATTCTGAGCAGAGATATTTTAATGTCCTCAGATGGAACCTTGTGTTAGACAACTGCAACACTGGACACTCCAACTGCTGAAAAAGGAATTTAAATGCAAGAACAGGAGACTGAAGTGAAGGGGAAACACCAAACATCATCTTCACATACCAAACTTCAACATTGACTAATTAAAACCCTTTTCACCAGAATAAATTAAAGCAAATGTCAGAACAAATCTTTGAGAGGGAAATGGGAAGCATGAGACTTGCCTGCCTGAAAAACAGCTTCAGCTTTGTTGCTTCAAACAGCTGAGAATCCAAGCCCCACAGTTTCCTTCCACACAGGTGCTCCTAAGTAACTGTTCCTGTCTTTGCATTTCACTCTGAGCATTGTCATCTTGTTTTTCAAAGCACAACTGCCGCCCAGTCCAGATGAGTTCTGCTGGCCTTTGGCTGCTGTGTTTCAGTGGAAAGCATTACTCTGACCAGCACTTGTCAGCCAGCAGCAGAGCTGTAGCACTGGCAAACTGCTGAAGGGAGGCTGTGGAGAAGGAACCCAAATAAGCTGCAGGAGACGGGAATCCCCCTGGGGCGGAGACCCTTGGGCATTTTAAAGCTGTGGAACTGTAAGTTGCTCCCTCCTTCAGGTCAGCCAGCCCTATCTGATATATTATATTTCTAAGGATTCAGCTAGCCATGGCTTCAACTGTTTATAAAAAATTGAGAAAAAAATTTCCTTGGAATTTTCATTTCAAATGATTGTTATATCAAAATTCTCATTAGAATAAATTCAATGCCAAACCCCAGACCAACTGTTCCTCTGACAGCTTTTCTGCACTTACCTGAATAAATATTTGTCAGTATATTTTCAAACAGTCCACAATCAAACAGTGCCATCACTGTCTCTTCATACTCTGGGAAAAGAGATAATTTGATGTAACACTACTGAGTAAAGGTTTACAGAGCCCTACATTAGAAGTACCACGAAACAGTAATTATTTTCCATCACACTGACTGAGGTTTTAAGATGTCTTCCTTCTTACATAATCTGTATTGAGAAAAAAGGATCAAGTTGTCAATTTTTTCTTTTTAGTTTCATACAGAAAATTATTACCTTTTTAGATCTGCACCACATGAACAGTGCATTTAAAGAAGAGCAATATATTTAAGTCATATTTCACTTCAGTGTGCAAGGACTGTGTGATGGCAGAGCTGACTGTACCAACTCCTCCTGACAGATCATGTGTGGGACTGAGCTATCCCTGTTTGCTGTTAAGAAACATCCAAGAATTACACCTCAATTTCATACCTGAGGCTTCTACTGAAGCAAAATACAAAACACTTGCAGAATTCAACTGACACACAAGCTGCTCATGAAGGAAGACTTTCCAGATGGGACATTTCACTTTCCATGCATGTGCTTCAGTTACTTTGCATAAAATAGTCTTCTTTATGCAAAGGTATTACTCCTAACTTTGCAAAACTGGGAGGACAATTGGAGAGGAAAGCTCAAAATTTTCTTTAATTGGACAAAGCAACATCAGATTGGACTTCTTTAAAAACAAAGTACCCCATACAAAGTCATAAACGCATAAAAACCCCAAACAGACATTATCAGCTGACAGTACACTTGTAACAAATCATCCAAAACTTTAAAATGTACATACTTAGGGATTTTCACTCAGAAGAGAGTGCTGATATTAACAGACAGCTGGTACCTCTGTGAAGCTGCAAGAGCAACACAGACTTACGACCTAAATAAAACCTGGTTCTCTTCAGGACCTCTCAGCTCTCCAGTCCCTGGGAGGACAGGCTGGACTGAACCTTCCTATGCTTATGCCAGCATGTAAAAGTGGCTTCTAAAATTCAAGTCAGAAGGTCTCACTAGAGATGCTGAGTCGGCAGCTCTTACATAATTTTGAGAAAGAAGTTTCTTGGAACTTTCATTGTAAGTGGTCATTTAAAAGGGGAGGTCATTCTCAACCTCCTGCACAGCTGCAGAAATAAGGACTGAGTTATTTAGCACCATGGTATTCTCAGGAAGGTGGCCTAGGGCCAAGTGCCTGGGATTCAGATCTGCACCTCTGCTCTGACAGCAGAGTCTCTGCATGGGTGCCCATGAAAATACCTGTTTCTGAAGTGTTGTCGTCCATCAGTTTTTCCTGAGCCAGGTGAAGTGTGTCCAGCATTTCTTCAAATATGTCATCCAGAAGCCCAGCTTGTTTGCACTTCCTAACAAAGTCTATTCGAACTGTTAAAACACAAAAGCATTCTCATACAAAAGTGATCTGTAAAGTGGGCTTTGCTCCCTCTCTTCAGAAACTAAAACTTAAGCCAAAGCCCTTCCACCAGAAACAAATAGTTTTGCAGATCTCTGGCTTCTCCAGCCACTCACACAGCCCTTTTCAGTAGGGCTGAACAAGTAGCTAGGCAAACGTAAGCATTGTGCTGGGTGTAAAATTCCCTAAGCCCTAGATTTGGCTTCATTCATCACAAGCAAACAGCTCCACAACTCTAAATGTTCCATTCCTAAAGCTCATGATACCCCCTAGTGATTTGTCTTGCTTGCTGTTTCACCAATCCTCAGGACCACACCATGGACAGAACAGGCTAAAGCACAGAAAACAGAGAAATAAATGAATCAATATTAGATTTGGTAAAAATTGAGGCTACTTTTACTCCAAGTGATCCAGGCAACTAAACTTTTTTATTACAGCCCATTTTATATACCTACTTTGTCAGATTTGGATTAATAGAGAAATAACCATTTTTTCTTTATGCCAGAGCAGCAGGTCAGTGACAAGTTATAGTAAGATCAATGCAATGGGCTGTTCAAAAGCAAAGAGCCATTGGACGGCTCACAAAAGTCTGCCAGTCGCTGTTAAAAACGATGTTACATTTTACTGGGGGCATCTGTGAGGCAAGAAATGCCATCTCACTTACACAAGATGCTCTACGAGAATTTCAGAACTCTATAGATTTCCTGTTCTTTACAGTGGTAATGGAATTCAGAAAAGACCACTAGGCAGCCACTTGCAAAACCATGCCCATACATTAAGCATATCCACAGCAAGGTGAATAATCACCACTAGCACATTCTAAACTTCCAAGTGCTAGGAGAATCCCAACAAGCAACTGCAGCAGAAGCTTCAGGGTAACACGAAAACTGCAGCACTGAAGGATAGGTTCTGTGATCCATCTCACTGTTTTAACACCATATGTATGCAGTGAAAGCCTATTTTGTGTTAAGCACCCTGTGTACACCCAGGCTTCCAAAGGCGAGATGTGCTACCCACTCTGGGCAGCTCCCCTGTTAACATCTTCCAGAGTTTCCATTTTAGATTTAACTGTTCTGATACAGAGGAGCAGCATCAGGCAGAGGCACCCCTGTCTGCAGGAGACAGAGCTGAATGCAGCAGCCAGCCAGAGTGGGGCATTCCCATCTGAATCACCAGCTCACATCACACAGCAAGTCTCACTCGGCCAAACCACAGGCATTTGTTTGCTGCACAGTTATTAAAGCATTCTGCAAATCAGACTTCTGCTGCCACGCCAGAGCACAGAGCCACTTGTATCATAAAGATACATTTACAGCACAGAATTTGCTACCAGCCATCTCCAAGCTCTGCACTTCAACATTACAGATCACAGTACCTCCTACTTGTTCCATAAAGTTGTTACCAAATGTCCAAAATGTCAGGATAAGGCTCCTTAACACTGAAGTTAAAGAGTGCATCCTTTCTTCAAGCCCAAGGTCCTGCAGGGAATACTCCTAACCTTACATGGACACCGTGTTTCTACGTTAAAAGTGTTGCTTATATACACACTCCCTACATATATATTACAATTTATCCATTACCATAAATCCCACCCCAGGCTCCCAGAGACTAAGTCCTTTGTTCCATCTATCACTGCATTCTTGAGCCACGTATTTTCTTGTCTCGCCACTATCCTTGCTGGAGGAGCAGCATTTGCATGACCTGTTTCTCTGCTAGAAGTTTCACAGGCACAGTAAAAAGTGAATTAACACTTCTGGTACCAAAGTGAGTCTCACCTTTATGCCTGTTGTTTTTCCTTTTTACTGTTTGTAAATGGTTTTCTTCGGCTGTCTCTTCTGTACTCTGTAAGAAAATCAAAGCAATGTATTTTTCCATCATGCTGACATTTACTGCTGTTCTCGTTACCATACTTCTGTCTTTGCAGAAAGACAAAAAGCAGTCCACATTTCTGTGAACACAGTCAGCTTCTCTGAGTGGCTAACAATATTCCTCTGCAGACATTCTATTTTGAAAATGGAAGAAAAAACTGCTTCAAAGCAAGAAATGCTTTAAGAAAAGCCAAACACCTGGGACACCACCCTCCTTAAGCATTGTATTTGCAAATAGCAGAGAAGTTAACAAATTCCTACTCGGAACTCCCAAGGCTCTTTCTGAACACTGTCAGAATACTTTGATAAGCAAGTCCTTTGCTGTAGCAGGTATGGGTCTTCTGTTTTAGTATTACAGAAATTCAGAATTACCATTTCTTCTGTGATGGTGGGAGATGTCAATGTACGTCTTCTTTTCTTATTAGCTGCATCTAGGAATTAATAAACAACAAAGTAACAAAAGTGACAACCTCAGACTGACCATCATACATCATTTAAATTCCTTCTTTTCTCAAAACGCTACAGAAGTGAGGCACTTCTGTATGGTAAGGCAGATGTATGTTTCAGCTTCGCCAAAAACCTGACATTTCAGCAGAATTCACACTGTTTCCATTAAGAAAATTGCAAGCATGAACCAACCATTAGGAAAAAGTGCAAATCATTATAGCATTAGTATATCACTTAACCTTTTCAACTCAGCAGATTTTTAATTGTGGCAGAGTGAACTTATTCCTCCTGACAGCAGCACTACCTCTAGGTGTTAAAAAACTGTTTGGTTTCTTTTCCAAACAATTTTTACGTAAGTTAATATGCCCTCAAAACTACAACTATATAAAGAATTACTTAGGTGTCTCAAAGACATAAACATGGCATTAGGGTTTTCATCAATATAAGGACCCTTCCAGAAAACCTCCAAAAACCATTTGACTTTTCAGTTTAATATTATTTATGCTACAAAGTGTTTGTAGTGATGTGGCATGAGATCTTAAAAATTATCTCTGCTTTCACTGTTTCCTTTCCATCAGCATGCACCAGACTCTTGCCAACATCATAACTGGCAGCTTTTGGAAACAGTTACAGTATCACAAGCAGAAAAGGATACCTGGCAAGGAAGACTTGGCAGGAGCAGAGAAAGCAGAGAACAGTGCAACCACCCAACAAAACCTGAATGTTTAGTGTACAGTGGGGTTATACTTCTCCTTCCCTGCTTAATTTCAGAACCTCTGGGAAGCACTTAGGAAGGCCTTTCCTGTTAGAAATCATCCTGTCAAGAGGAGTAGGGAGCCACTGTTGTATATGGAGGCTGCAGAAACATATTTGGGCTTTGGGCACTGGTGCTGTACATTTGCATTTTTCATGGAATGAAAGGAAATTGGTCTCACTTCATCCAAAACAAACCTGTAAGGCCAAATTTGGGACAGTGTGGGAGATACTGCTGTAGGTACAAAGTGTTCCCTATTGTCCAGCATTGTATTTTTGACACATGATGGGATTTTCTGAGCTCTCCCTGGTATCTGCTGTATGGATGCCTTATACAAGAGGAGCATAGTCTGAAGAGCAGCCCAACTCCTCCTGCTCTGCGCAGCGCTGGCTGCTCTCCGGCATTTGTCAGCCTTTACTCTGTCCACGTCTAACTCTTCCAGTTAAACAGAGGTTGGAGCCTGTTTTCAAGTCCAAGCTGCTGTCACATCCTTGCTGCACAGAGCTGCAAGGAGAGCTCTTGGCCCATAAGACACCTTATCCCTTTCCAATGACACAGCAGAGCCCTGACATTCCAGCACAAGAATATTGTATGAACCAAGAATAAGGGCATCTTCCCTGACCCCATTTTCTCCAAACTATGAAGCAGGAGCCACTGGGCCTGGGGAACCAAGTATCTTCTACTCAACTCTCCCACTGGCTCCCCACTTCCCAGGGTACAGCTACCCTCAGGAGGTGAGAGATGCTCATTCAGGAGGCAGGGTAGACACTGCCAGCAGAATCCATTTAACCCTCATAGACAGAAGGTCTCTAAATCAAGTGCCTCTGGAAGAACTCCTCTAGGAGAAAACTCTCTTCTCAGGGAACATTGCATTTGAAGACACAAAACCCATCCAGTATATAAAGGAGACTACAAGAAAGCCAGAAAATGACTGTACCAGAGCATGTATTGATAGGACAAAGGGATATGGCTTCAGACTGAAAGACACCAGGCTTGGGTTGGATACAAAGAAATCCTTTACTGTGAGGGTGGTGTGGTGACACTCTAGAACAATTTGTCCAGAGAAGTTGTGGATATCTTGTCTCTGGAAATGTTCAAGGCTGCATGGGGCTTTGAGAACCTGGTCTAGTGGAAGGTGTGCCTGCCAAGGCAAGGAGGCTGGAACTAGATAATCTTCAAAGTTCCTTCCAACCCAAATAATTCTGTGATCCAACCTTGTAAGACTTAGGTGTTCCAGATGAACAAGGTGGTCTAGAAGGTTGGACCTAATGCCTGAATATTATCTGGTACTGGAAACAAAGCAGTACTGGGCCTGTCCAGCACTTGTGCAGGAGATCACCCGAGACCCTGGGCAGCCCCAACAGACACTGACAACCATTACACCACAGAAATCAAAACAATTTTGAAAAGGCAAGAAAGGTCAGGATTCAAAACTATGGATAAGTAAAAAACAAAGCTACTAAGTAAACTAAGAAGATGCATTTGGTTAGTGAGCCACAGCAATATCAGATACTAAACAGACTTACATCTGGCTAAAAAGTGAGATATAGGTTAGAAATTAATTTAAGGTAGAAATTAATTTCAGAGTTAGGATAGCTGTTTTAGACATGTATGTTGCTTAACCTGCTTAGCTTGTAACTTGCTGTGCTTGCAAAGGCCTTCGAAGATGGACAAAGGAATGCAGGGATCCTGATAAGAAGAGCTCATTACCCCAAACAGGGTGGAAGGAATGCAAGGCCTGCTGGAGATAAGAGAGGCTCCTCAGACCCTGCAGCAAGCTTCAGAGAGACCCTGCATGTGCCCAGAGCTGAATAAATACCTACCTACTTTACAACTTTCACCAGCTCTGGAGTCTTTCTGAAGAGCCCCAGCCCTCATGAATAAAAGCTTAAATAATAATCACCTAACCCATCTCTTACGTGTCATCAGGGTGGAGCAAGACTCTGTCAAGAAGACTGGCTAAGATTTGCTAGACTTCAGTGGGACCACACCACGGTCAGCACAAGTGCTTACAGTTCCATTGAGTTCAAATTCAAACTGAAGGCCAGTCTAGGAGCCACTTCACTGTGAGCAGAGTCCTATGCATTAGGCTAACAAGGTCCAGCTTTGGTTGGGATTTCCAAATACCTCTGAATCAGGAAGGGCCAAGACTGCCAAATGAAGCTGTATTTCTGTAGCACAGGAAGCAGTCATTAAGCAGGGGTTGTACAACCCTTTTGTTACACTTAAAAAGCTCTTTGGGATCCTTCAGAATGAAAGGCCCTATTTTAAAAACTGCTGTAGTGAGTACAGAAGATGCAAATGTGAATGTCTGCATAACCACAGATAAAATCCCAAGCTGACCTCTCCTGCAACAGCCTTTTCCTTGCTAATCTAGCAAAAACTTGTGTGTGGCTCTCCTGTCTCACAGGGGTTTTACAAGCTGCTTGGGCCTACTTGCCCAAAGAAGAGTAAGAATGATTCCATTAAGGACTGGGTCCATTGTGGTTTAAGTCAGTTTTCAAGGAGATCTGGGGAGGATTAAATTTAACTTTTCCCACTTCACAAAACCTTGATTTTTGCGCATACATGTGGATCTCAACCAAACCACTCTTGAAAGATTAGAAATCCCCCACTCAATATGAAGGTGGTGATATTTATCTTGCTCTTATGAATTACTGACTGTAGGATGCAACTTCTAAAACAAATGAAATCAATGAAGTCATTAAAGAAACTCACCATAGTGATTGGTCCTATTCCCTGGGTCATGTTTTGGGCAGAACACTCTAAAATTTAAGTTCAATTTCAAGAAAAAGAGAAGAAGTATTAATAAATATGCAGAGTTATGTTGACCTATTTTAACAGATATTTTCCCTTCTTTCCACTGAACATAAACTGAAACAGTCCAAAAAAAATCAGGATTTTTGTTCAGCATTACACACCTCAAAAACCATCTTCTTTAAAGTCTCATGCATGCACAACCTTGTATCTGTACTTCCAGAGCCACACTGGACTCTCAGCACTGAAGCTCTGAATAATCAGCTCCATCAGCCCACCCTGTCTGGGCCTGCCCACTGTTCAGGCCCTGAGTCAGGCACATTTCATGTGCGTGGCAATCACTGTGTCAGAGACACTGAAATGAGATTAACGCTCCCAAGGGGAAACGCCACAGTCCTGACACTGCTCCATCACAGCGGCTCTGCCCCCTGGCCCTGCCCCACGCAGGCCAGGAGCCTCCTCAGACACATCTGCCCAGCGTTGCCTTCCATTCCTCAGCCCTGCAGGACGCTGGCAGCGCCACACGGCACCACCATGCACAGCACCCGGCATTCACCCACCTGGAGATCTCTGTGCCCTCCCTCCGCTGCTCATGGAATGGCCCCCAAATCCTGACTATGTGGGGCAGCCCTGTGCAGAAGCTGCTCAGTCCATTTGTTACTTAAAGACTTCAGTAATACATGAAATGGGAATATTTTCAGTGGTTCTAGGAGAGCAATGTGAATTCTTTTGGAAGAGGCAAAATGAAACAAATTTATCTGAAAAATAGTCCTTATCTTTTGGATACAATAATGTGCAGAGAACATGAACCAACTTTTACAATATGCCCTTCTTACAGAAGCATCCCAAGTCACTTTTTAAGCAAAAATACCTTGTCAGGAGCATGGCTTAGTTTATCTCTTCCTTACAAATTTACTTGCCAAGTAAATCAAGTCTGCTGCAATTTTTAAAGGGAACTGCATTTACTAGGCCATTTTATAATTATTGTCATTCTTTTAACAAAAACAGAAGCACTGCCCTTAGAAATGCACACTGTTGGCTTGATGAGGAACTTCTTTTGCATGAAATGCATCTTGAAGCTCAACAAATCAGATTTAGGTATGCCTAACAATACAGTCAGAAAGCTGGAGACACCTTATTTACATCCCTGAATTTCTACTACTGCCCTTTAGAGAATATTTTTTAGTCTTCCCCTCCCTTTACTTATAGTCTTTCACAGTTAAAAAACAAACCCATCCTAAGGACAAGAACATCTTACAAAGTACAGATAATATATTTTACTTCTCAGGCCACTTTATTTGGAAGCACTTCTCTACTATCTACTATAGTTTTGCAAGAGAGTAGTGCAAATTGCACTTATTTCTCCACCTCTACTCTTATTGGCCACTTCCACAGCACCCTATGCTTTCTCTTTTTATTCTGCTCCATTTGTTTTGATGATCACTACCCATCATCACAATGATGGCAACTCAGAATTTAAAGCCACCAGCTCTGCCTCTCTCAAAGGAATTATCTTTTATCAGTATGTTATACTTCACCATGAAAATGTGCAGGGGCTGTCAATCCACATTCACTGTTTTTCAAGTCTATTCTCCAATAACTTCAGCTATATACAATTTTTGTGCTTTATTTATGCCACTGCTACTGTGCTAAAGTCTTTAGGTTCAAATCCTTGAAAGCTGTCCTAGTATCCTTCTCTAATATAGTCCTTTCCCAGCTCTTCATTACAGGTTGCTATAGCCTAGTTTCCTAGGCTATCAGTGTCACACAGAGACTTAAACCAAAGCATTTTTAAGGGTCCCTCTTCCAAACCCCCAAGGTCACCAGCTCAAAAATGCCACCAAACCAAACTATATATGCTAGCACTTTTTTATCAGTTTGTATCTAGACTGCTGTCAGTCCCACTTGTTTTTCAATACCTTGAGTTCAGTCTTCTTGAATCTGAGTTACCCTTTTAAAAGCTATAAGATGAAAGCCATTTATACTGGGATCATAGAAAGTTTCCACCTTCCCAGCTACACTCTTTCATGAGCTTTGCAGATACACAAAGATTTTACAGCTTTCATCGTCCCTTCACAGCTGGGCTTGCAGCCTTGCACAGATGCGTTCATTTTAGACAGAGAGCACTGTGAACCTGCCAGAGTGCAAGTATCTTGACACAAAAGGACCCATCTTCCACTGCTACTAAGGACTGCACTAGTCCACTCCTTTTTGAAACAGTAGTGATTAGATGATCCCCAAATTAATCTAAGTCTAATGCGACCTGTGACCTCTCTGGTCTTGCACAGAAATGAGCATCAGGGCTTTTATGCACCTCAGATCTCAGCATTTCAAAAGGTCCCCAAAGCCCCAGTTTTTCAACCCCTTCATCTTCATCCTCCAAACAATTTGTTTAATCTGTCAATGGCAATGCAGGCAGCCCAAGGGCAGTGGACACCAGGACTAGCATGATCAGGACAGAAAATTTACTTAGAATCCATTCAATCATGTTATTGCTAACAACATACTTGACATACAAGGCCTTTAGTGGGAATCAAAGTTCTTTGCTAGCATGGGGAGGGAAAATTACCCGAATTTGACTAATGTGAGCAGACCTAGAAGGGTTATAACCTGCTCTATGCTCAGACCACGTTTATTGGAGCTTCTGAACCAACAAAAAATTTAGAATCTGAGTGACATTAATAAAAGTCTTGGTTATTGAAGATTGGCTAGAGAGTCAGTGAAAGACTGACTTTCTCAGTTTTTGCCTTGTTATCTTTCAGTGATGTTACAGGCTCAACCACTAAACAGATTCCCTCCCACTGCAGTAAAGCTTTCCTGTGAAATGAAAGCATTTCTCCCACAGTTTGCAAACAGAGCATCAAGCATCACTTTAGGAGAGGGGAACTTATTTCCTTCCCTAAAAACCCTTTAACCCCACCCAATGAAGCCCCTCTTGCTGACACCCCCAGAAGCTGGCAGTGACAGTCAGAGCACACTTGGTGAGGTACCTGTAGACGCCGTTGACCTCGTCAGTCTCCACGGCTGCATCATCGCAGAGCGCGCAGAAGAAGTGGTAGCTCCTGCGGCACGCGCGCTCCTCGCAGCCCACCGTGGCCCCCTTCTTGCGGCAGAAGTTGCACACCTACAACAGGAGGGGGTTCACCAGGTAAATGTCACAGGCAGATGTTGCTATCATGCTGGCATGGTAGAGTGGAGGAAGGGTTTTAGAAAGGCCTTGGGAATGGGAAACTGAGGGAAAGATACATTTCTGTATGCCCCATTGTTTCGGGAAAGTTTCACTTCAGCATTTCTCTGGAAACCCCCTTCTCCCCACCCCTGAGCAGTTCCCATTGGACCTGACCCCTGAGGTGGTTCTGATGTGCCTTAGCTGAACACTGTCTCTATTGTTTAGACCTTATCTCTTAATTTTGCTGTATAAAATTGTATCTGGGCAATAGCCCAGGATCTTTGGTCCCTGCAACACTTCAGGCAATACAATCTCTCTGGACAAGCATACCACTGGTCTCTCTTGGTCTCTTTATCTCGAATCCTAGCGGTGACTGAAGCAGTGCCGCAGCTCGGACCGTGCTAACCCAGCCGCTGCCTGGTGAGCCCAGGGCAGCAGGACCGCGGAAAACCCCGGCCCCGAGAGGGGACAGCTAGCCGGAGGGTCCCGGGGGGCCGGGGAGGGACGGGGGACAGCGGCGAGTGACCCCCGAAAGCCACAGGCAGCTACTCCAAATCCTGCCAGACAGGGCAAATGCCGTTTTCTGTGGGAAAATCCAGTATTCCATTGCAAGTCATCTCTGTGTAATTCATCAGGCAAATTCACACCTGCAAACACCTACCCTGATCATTATTTCAGCCACCTTTTCGCTATCTTATCCCTATTTCATACTGATACATTTGTAAAATGAGGCAAAGAGCCATACGAGGGCACTGAGCAACTTTTCCAAGTTATTTCAACATTAATTGGTGTTAATGTTTGTATTTATGTTTTCTAGGCTAACTTCATAATGAAAAGAGTTCCACCCAGGACGTAGCAGAGGAGGGCAGGTGAAGACAAAGGCAATTATAAAAATCCCTTATTTAAATAATCATATTTCTGCTAAACTCAGAAGGTTTCCCTTTACAATTGTGGATTGCATTCTTTTGTTTCAGGCACTGGCTTAGTTCTTTACCAAAGTCTCAGGAAATTTTGACTAAGGACATAAAGGCCAGAAAAAAACCCACCTGTGTTTTAATGCAGAATGAACTAAATTTCACCAAACCATATCTTAAATCAATGACTCCAACACTAAACCTGTAATTTCCCTAATCTCATTAGATCAGAAGGACCAGCTACTTGAATGGTTTTTTTTTTTAAAGCACAGAACAGGCCAGACAACCTTCAATAATATGAGATGGGACTAACTGCAGATTCAGAAACATCTCCTTACCAGCCGCTTTCCTCTCCTGAGCTCCTTTAACACTGATGACACATCAAACCTTATTTCCAGATTTTCTGGGTTATGATCTTCAGATTCCACAAATCCTGAGGAAAATAACTAAAGACAAAAGAGACAGTTTTAAGAAATAAGAATTACTCGGTCACCAGTGCTGAAAAGAGACACGGAATACATCTTTTCTTCTTTCAGTTGCCCTGCCTAAGAAGGCTGATTTTTCTCTGTGTTAACAAGAGGTTTCACCTACACTGAACAAGGAGCAAAGCTTAAATATTTCTGCCATAAAAAGAAGTTCCTCCTTCCACATAGGAGATTTCACATAACCTGACAGCAAACTAAGAAAAGATAATAAGGTGAGAAAGTTAACTTATCAAAAACATGAACAAAGAAAATGTGAAATTCCAAGGTGCCCCCAGAGTAGGGATGAAAAGATCTTCATGCAACAGACCTCCACACCTTGGACATCTTATTATGTGCTCAGTTGTTCAGACCTACAGCTGGATGCAACATTTCTCTGTAATAAGATTTCCATACAGCCCAATGCTGGCAACAGCTGACTGCAGGAAAAAAACAGAAACATTGTACACATCCCGGAAGAAACTCACTAAAAATGCACACATGCACACTCAGGCCACTTTAATTTCCATAGAACTGCTGAGCCATGACAATGAGGAAGGGGAAGTTCTTGGCAAATATTTCCTAAGCATTACATGTAGCTAATTCCAAACAAAAGGGAGCTACCCTTTCATCAATTAGCAGGCACAGTCTGTCTGCTCGGAAGGTGATAGCTGACTGCAAAAAAACCCAAACAGTGCAAACAAATCTAAGGCAGAGAAATGAGTAAAGGTGCTGGGAGGAGAAAGAAGAAAAAACAGAGACAGGGGGAAAGAGAGAGAGAGAGAAAAGTTTTAACATTGGAAAAACATTAAAGCTATAATAAAACCTGTTTCAAATAAAACACTCAAGTGCCATAAAACAATGCTGTTGTGAAACATTCTGATAAAAAACAACTAACCAAAAAAGATATCAGAAAAATACAGATGCAGATATAACTATTGTGAGAATAAGAAGGCTAGGACAGTGACAGCCAGAAAGCTGCTCTAGCAGCAATCTCCTGCATTAAATGGCCCTCAGCTATATTCTCCCTCTGCTGAAGGGAGAATACAGCAGCTTTAATTGATTCTGTACTCCAACAACCAGCTCTACCAACATTCCAGAATAAAGGGGAGGCAAGAAAAGTAGAAGGATCGCACACACTTAAGAGCTTCACAGATATTTTTATATAATCAACTTCAGATATTTTTATTCCTTATTTTAAATAAGGGACACACTGGAAAGATTTTTAACCATCAAGTGATACGGATATTTTCCTGCAAAGGTTTAAGTATACAACTTTCTGTGGTCTGAAAGTCCTCATCCAAGAGGATGAGTCTCAATAGTGTCTCAAGAAGACTTACTCCTGTTTCTAGACCATATGTGGTCTTTGTGGTGTTTTCATGTGTCTGGGACCACTGCTCAGCAACAGACATGAAAACACCACAAATCAACAGCTCCAGCTGTGCAGACACATCCTCTCCCACTCCAAAATCCCTGCCAAGCCCTGTTCCTTTTTACAGCTTTTCAATCAAATATAAACGTGCTGGTTTGAGTAACCAGCCTTTCAATCCAGACATCACTGCAAAACCAAAAACTGATAAGCAGTGGAAACTTCCCCTTATCCCTTCTCCACTTCTCTTTGGTACTGACCAGCTAAAGGCACTCACCAGACAATCCTGATGAGCTGCAATATTTTTCTCTGTGGCGATATACATTACAGAGCCAGCCTCCCCTTCTGAACAAAATGCACATGTTGTTCTCACCATCTTCGCCATTATCCAGAAAACACCTAGAGCAGGAAAACTGGGACAAACCACAAAGCAATCAACAACTTCCACAGGCCAAGCACGACAGAGAAAAGCAGAGCCTGCCAACACCTACCCTCTAACTGCTTCTTCTCCTACATCCCCTGACCCTTGGTGCTTTGCTCCTCCAGTAATGACTACCAGTAGAACAGGCACTTGGCACAGCAGTGGGATGGAAACCAGATCCCAGGAGCTCCAGCAATTAGTGCAAGAGAAAGAGTGGTTTATCTCCTCTTGGAAAGTCACTAACAAGTCATAAGGGGTAATACAACAGTTTTCAAGCTTGCTTGAAATACCTGCTCCAAAAACAGACCCAAGAGAGGCCTGGCAAGTCATGCTCTAAGGTGTGGAACTCCCTCTGTTTGGAGGAGGGCAATCACTCATAGTATTGTCTTAACCCACTGCTGCTATGTGTGGGTCTGCAAGTCAACAAAGAACAGAAAAACAGGTGACCCCAAGCTTCACTAGTGCTTCCAGGAGTTCACAGAAAACAAGAAATACTAATTTCTTTCTGTAAGAAGCATGGAGCACAGTAGTGTGGAGTGGTCTGCAAGTAATTTAGGGCACAAAAAAATCATATATGAGAGATTCAGACATTCTCTCTCAACAAGGCAAAATGCTAACAGGATGACAGAATTTCCCCTGAGCCCTGGGAATTGCCCCAGGGACCACCTGTTATCTTTTCCTGGCCATATCCACTCAAATCTTAATTGTTCTTCTTCACATAGTCTTTCTCCAGCAGATACAAAATTCTGAAGCCAGCTATTTACTTCACAAAAGAAGTAAAAGTGTTTCTGGACAAGCCTTTACACACATCCACCACCAGCAGGTTATAGCATCACCCCACCCCATTTGTAGCAGAAATTTTACTTTGTTTCTTTCTTTTTTTTTTTGTTTGTGCAAGTCCACCAGAGAAATCTTCAACAACTTCCCACTCCTACAAGGTGTGATACTCCAAATTATCCTCTGCTGGAGACGTCACCTCTGACAGCACAAACTCCTGTATGACAAGGGGGAAGAAAAATCTGTGTTTACTTTCAAGAAATAGGAAGATATGAAATTAAATTATTCTTGTGAGAGAGAGGTAGTAAGGCCCAAGTATAAAATAGGCAGCATATCTCATAGTCCAACAAATCCTGCAAACTTTTTTTGCGTTTCAACAGATTGTTTTTGTTAGTTCCCATTCCCTTTGCATAAAACAGACTGGGTAGCCCCAGGTCAAAACACCACCAGAGTAGAAGATTTTTTATGTTTTTCCCCTCTGGCTTACACTACCGACAATTTACTTGTAATCACAAGTCACTTAGCCTTTGCACACAGCTGGAGTGTTTTTCCCTCTGTCCTTCTATGTCTTGTAAGCAAGGCAGGGTAGAAACTGACTTCCAATACCCATCTATACACTGACCATCATATCAGTTTCAGAACCTGAGCAATAAATAAATACAACAGAAACAAACAGAAACACAAAGACATATTAGAACTAGAATAAAAAAGAAACTCAAAAGAAGAATGAGCTAGAGTTTGAATGGCCTAGAATATGGGGAAAGCTCTCTGCAGCAAACCAATATCTGGAATCAATGTAGACACATAGGCCCTGCTCAGGCTGTCAGAGGATCCTGCTCTAGGAATTTTTTAAGGAAGGGGCTAAACGTGGAGTCTGCAGTCCCTGGTGTTCTTTACAGGCTCCAGAGAAATCCTGGTGCTTATGGAGGACAGAAGCCATTTAATCACGGTCAACCTTAGGGTGACTCCAGCACCTTTCTAGGAATGCTGAAGCAGTGAAGTCCAGCTCTTGGCCATTCCTCTGTGCAGAAGCAGCCAGCCTGCACCTACAGCCCCTATTTAGCCCTGTATCCTGTTCCCCTGTGGTTGGAAGGCCCTGGCTGGATGCCAGGAACTCCCCTGAGCCACTCAACCACTCCCCTCCACAGCTGGATGGGGAGAGAAAAATATAACAAAGAGTTCATGGGTTAAGGAGGTGGGAGCAATCCCTCACCAAATACCATCACAGGCAAAGCAGACTCAGTTTGGGGATCATGAGCTGAATTTATTACTAACAAAATCAGAGCAGGATAATGAGAAGTATAATGAATTTTAAAACCACCTTGCCCTCACCTCTCCCTGTTGCAGTGTAATTTCATGGTTTACCCCCAAACCCCAGGTTTCTCCCCTGAAGATTTCCTCCCAGGTGTGTCAATCACTCCTCCTTTCCCTACCCTGACCCCTGCTCAACATTGTCGGTCACTCCTGGAATTCCAAAAGGGCTTTGGGTGATTGAGCAGATTCAAAAGATGCCCTCTACCCCCGGGGGACATTGGGCCATCCAGGTTCCTTTGTCCCTTGAGACCCTCCCCTACCTGGTTGGCGGGGTCCCTATCCCTTCGCTCCTCCCCCGGATAAAAGGGAAAGCAACCACGAAGGCCCAGAGTTCTGTTGAAGCAGTTGCTGGATTCAGAGCCTGCGGGCCAGAATAAAAGCTCTGGATTAAAACTCTCCATCAGAACTGACTCCTTTCCTTCACTATTGCCTTAAAAGCCTCTCCAACAGTGGGAAACCTGAGGAGCAGACCCTCTGCGAGCGGAAGCTCCATCCCACTGCCACCGGAGCTCCGGCATGCCTGGACTTGTCTCTACGCTCCCAGCTGCAACATCCAGCTAGCCAGAAGTGTCTCTGGGTGAAACACCACAGTTGCCACTATTTGGTTCAGCTGCATGGGCCAGACAAGCCAGGGCACTTCCTGTCCTCAATATTGGTAATACCAATACCTCCCTTCTTTCGAAACTCTACCTCCTTCCCCTAAGAGGCACAGGGAGATGGAGATTGGAGGTTATGGTCAGTCCATCACTCATTGTTCCCACCACACTCAAGGAGAGTCCTTCCCCTGCTCCAGTATGGGATCCCTCCCAATAGACAGTCTGCCACAAACTTCTCTGTGAGTCCATCCCATGAAGAACAGTTCTCCACGAACTGCTCCAACATAGATCACTCTCCCATGGAGTGAAGTCCTTCAGGCACAGCCTACTTCAGAGTGGGCTCCCTCTCCATGGGTCTGCAAGTCCCTGCCAGGATCCTGTTCCAGCATGGGCCTCCCACGGGGTCACAGCCTCCTCTCAGGCACCCACCTCCTCCACAGGCTGGGGGTGGATCTCTGAATCCCATGGACCTCCCTGGGCTGCAGGGGCACATCCTGCATCACCATGGTCTGCACCAGGGGCTGCAGGGGAATCCCAGCTCTGGCACCTGGAGCACCTCCTGACCCTCCTTCTCCACTGACCTTGGTGTCTGCAGAGTTGCTCCTCTCACATATTCCCGCTCCACTCCTCTCTGCCCACAATAATATCTGCCCATTAACTTTTTTTCTTTCCTTCTTAAATATGTTACCACAGAGGCCTTACTATCATTCCTGCTGGGCTTGGCTTTGGCCAGCAGAGGGTCAGTCTGGGAGCTGGCTGGCATTGGCTCTGCTGGACACAGGGAAAGCTTCCAGCAGCTTCTCATTGAAGCCACCCCTGCAGCCCCCTCACCACCCAAACCTGGCCGTGCAAACCTGACATATCCCCCACAGGAGCCTGTGCTCTTCCTGAGCTGTCTGCTTACAGAGTACTACCAGGAAGAGGATACAGAGCTAAACGGGGCTGGCTGGCTGCTCCTATGCAAGAAGGGAGTGGCTAAAGGCAAGTTTCCAGTTTCACAGTTTAGTTACATTTCATCTGAGCAATACCTTGCTTTTGCAGGCTTAAGCCTGCCACTCAGGGATTCCATTTGAAACACTTGGATCTGTCTGAAAAGGCACAAAATCCTTGTTCCATTCTTTCAGTAGCATTCATGACAGCATTGCTCTGTTGCTATTTCTCCTGCTCTCTCTTTGTAAAGTCGAAGAATCTGAAACTATTTAGCTCTTCTTTGTACAGAAGCTGGTCTGCAGTTGTTCTCCCGTCTGTCATTTCTCCATCCCTCCTCTATAGTCTTCTGGCTATACTTTAAGAGGAGCATACCACCTCCAAAAGGATGGGTGGTTACCATTTACGAAGTCCTAACATCACTCTGTATTTTCCTTTTCTCCTTAATAATTCTGATTATTTCAATCATATTTTAGCCTGCTTGAGTGCAGAGCTGACAATTCCAGAGAACTACTGTTGGAAGCATAAAGCAGTGAAAAAAACATGAAGCTCAACAAGCAATAGGGTCCACGGTGATCAGAGCAGACAAAACTGGGTGGAGGGCTGGTGGTTTGTGCTGCCACGGGTCTGGAGAGGAATGTGAGGCAGCTTGGGAGCCCTGTGGCCTTGTTCTTTCCTTTGTCTAACAGGAAATATTTTGCTCCAACTGCACCTCCGGGGCATTCTGTGCAATGTGACTACAAACAATGGAAGGTACAAAAGTACCCTGATTTGTACCTAGCTGGAGGGGGAGAATTCAAAACAGAAATCATAGGGACAGATCCACAGGTTTGTCCTCTTGGCCCTCCCAGAAAAGACGCCTTTCAGTGAGAGTCACATACTTGTCACAGAATCAATTAGGTTGGGAAAGACCTCTGAGATCATTGAGTCCAAACAATGACCCAATACCACCCTGTCAACCAGGCCAGTATTACAGGTCTCCAGATCTCTTTCTTAAATGGCATCAGATTAAGTAGGGAGTGCATCAGTGTCATGGTTGTTTCTCTGCCACATCCATCATCTTCCAATTATCAATGCTGAATTTTCACCTGCTGTTTTACAGTCAATTCCTTGCTGTCCCAAAGTCCTTTTGCAGCCCTTCACTTTCACTGTCACCACCACAGGGAATCCAGGGGACCTAATTCAGCTGTAAGATTTGGGGGCCCTTCTGCTGCCCTCTGCTCATGACAGGTCAAATAATGCTGCAAAACGGAGGCAGAGCAGCAGCTGAAAGAGCAGTCACACCTGTACCTGTGCCATTTCCTAGAAGGAGGGCTGCTGGTTTTGGTTCTTTATGTTTCCACAACAGTGACTAAAGGGAAGGAATCCAGAAATGAAACAGAAAGTAAAAAGGAAGAACAGTGCTGGCAAGAGTTCAGGGCTTATGTCACTTTGAAATTCAGTAATTCTGCTGAAATATTACCAGTTTGTCTAAGTATTTGCTCTCCAGACCCAGTTCTGAAAGCATTCTTGTATGTAAATATCCATATTTTACACAGGAGGAGGCTCACACACAGAATCTCTTAGTATACCCATAGGAAGTAAGGAAAAGAACCCAAGTCCCCTGAATTCCAGCACGCTATTGAAACCCACTGCCCCAGCTCCTGCTCTGCTCTCCTCTTCCTTTCAGAGCAGTGCAGGATTGCATCTATGGAAGTAGGAAGAAAGAAATCACACACCTGTCAGCCCACACTCTGTGTCCCTCATTTGTACTTTCTAGGGAAAGAAGCACGGGTGGAAATTTCACAACTAAACACGACTGACACTCAGTTCCTCATTCTCCTCCCTACGTTATTACAGAACAGGCACATCCAGGTTTCGCAAGGAAGAAGAACGAACAAACAAAGCTGTCTTTCTGGTGGCCCCTCACTCGAGAGCATCTCGTTCCAGCCCCCGCCGCGAGCAAGGCACCTTTCGCTAGACCGGGCTGCTCAGAGCTCCATGCAGCCCGGCCCTGAACGCCGCCAGAGACCAGGCACCCGCAGCTTTTCTGGGAGCCCGTGCCGGCGCCCACCACGGGGCCCCCGGTGCCGCCTCACGGGGGTCCCGGTGCCGCCTCACGGGGGTCCCGGTGCCGCCTCACGGGGGTCCCGGTGCCGCCTCACGGGGGTCCCGGTGCCGCCTCACGAGGGTCCCGGTGCCGCCTCACGAGGGTCCCGGTGCCGCCTCACGGGGGTCCCGGTGCCCCCTCACGGGGGTCCCGGTGCCGCCTCACGGGGGTCCCGGTGCCCCCTCAGGGCCCTCCGCTCACCCGACCCCGGCAGGGTCCACCCACGGGCACTGCGGGGAGGGGGGTGCGGGACCGGCGCAGAGGAGGCTCCGCGCTCCCCCCGCCCGCGTGCCCGCGGTGGCACTTACCGCCCGCTCGCGGCGCAGCGCGGCCCGCGCGAGCCGTCACTCCTGCCGCCCCCTCCCCCGCCCTCAACTCTCCCGCGCGGAAGCGAGCGCGCCCGGCCGGGGCACGGAGCATGCGCGGTGGCGCCGGCCGATGCTCCGCCCCGCACACCCGCACGGCGCTGATTGGCTGCGGCCCACGTGTGGCTGGCGGGAAGGCGCCCGCCACGTGATATAGGAGGCGTGGCCGGGCCTCCCCGGGCGTGCCGGGCTCTCCGCCCCGGTGCCCGGGTTCGAGACCCGTGCCGGGCACTGCCGCGGGCCGCCGTCGGGCAGCCATTTCCCGAGGGCTTTCACCATGGGAAAGGCGATAGCCTACATCCCTCCCTAGCCCCGTGCTCACTTTTCACAGAATCACAGAACTGCTGTCCAAGCTAAGCCTCCCCGGATGGAGCTTCTTGCCACTTGTTGCTGGGAGGAAGATGCCGACCCCGTCCTGGCTACGCCTCCCTTTCAGGCAATTCTATAGAGGGGTAGGAGCACCCGGGAGCCTCCTTTTCTCCAGACTGAACACCCCCAGCTTGCTCCGCAGCTCCGCACAGGACGGGTGCTCCTGACCTTTCCCCAGCTCTACTGCCCTTCTCTGAGCACCCTCCTCCCTGATTTTAGGGGCCCAAAACTGAACACAGGATTTGAGGTGTGGCCTCACCAGGGTCAAGTACAGGGGTACAACCACTGTCCTCATCCTGCTGGCCACACTATTGCTGATGCAGGTGTGAGAAATCAACCCCACATTTCAAAATTTTTAGAAGTTTAATAAGGGATAAAAGGGGAAAATCAACAACAGCATTGGGTGCTTGGCTAAGGCCAGAGGCACATCAGCTAACCACAGTAACTCTTCTTATATACTTTTTCTATTGCATTGGTCAAATACATATTCATAAAGATTACACATGTTCGAACAATTATTTGAACTCGTTTACATGTTCTGGGAATTCTTTAGCTTGGTTTGACCCCAACCTACCTTTTTATTTAGAGTAGGTGCAGTAATCGTGGATTTCATTTTATGGGTCACTTCCCCACAATGACCCCCTATTTTGTGGTTTCAGCAGGTGAGAGTTACTGATGGTTAAAGTAGCAGGGTTCCTCATCCCACCTGCTCCTTAAATATTATCTGACCATGCAGATGGTTTTAGCTATTTTCACAAGTACTTCAAATCAACATCAGCTATTTCACAAATATATCTGAGTTATTCTCATTATTGTCAGTTACAAAAAAAAAAAAGAATAATTATTTCACAACTACAGCTACTTCTGCAAAAGTTAACGTTGTAACGCACAACACAGCATCCACTTTAGTAATTTGCAAAAGCCAATACATAATTAGTGAAAGCCAACAACTACATGGTTATTTGAAACACCAAGATAGCAAAGGCAGAGAACAAAATACCTTAAGAGGAGAATACCAAATCTAGAGTGGCATCAGAAGACCACCCCAGACTGCCTCTCTGATGGACCCTTGGAGACTGTAGCTGTGGACTTAGGCAATGCTGTGACAACCTGAGGTGGAGCTGTGGTAAACAGGCCCCGAAAAACGTGCAAAGTCATTTGGCGAAGTAATGCAACAGTATCAAGGACTGCTTGCTACAGATTTGGGTGTGCTTTTGGCTGTTGCCGCACACACAGTTGTGCTGTTACTTTTGCTTTCTTGATCTGTCCCTTATTATCCCTTATTAAAGTCTCAAAATTTGGAGGAGTGGGCTTTGTTTCTCACACAGGCCAGGATGCCATTGGCCTTTTTGGCCACCTGGGCACACTCACGTTTAGCTGCTGTCGACCAATGCTCCCTGGTCCTTTTCTGCTGGGCATCCTTCCAGACACTCTTCCCCAGCTTATAGGGATGCCTGGGTTTGTTGTGACCCAAGTACAGGACCTGGCACTTGGTATTGTTGAACCTCCTCCAGGAAGCTCATCAGCCACATTAACAGGCATATTCTGGTTCATCAAGAGGCTACACCAAACACAACATGGAGCTTTTAAGATCAGTTCTCTTTACCAGCTAGGCCAGCTTTGGCTTTTCAGCACTGCTGGCATCATTCCAGTTGGTTTCCCAAATTCCTTTGCACCTGCCCAGATGCAGCATATTGGAGCTAAAATCAACCCGTGTCTAGGCTTGCAATTAGATTATATCTATTAGCTAAATACAGCTATACAATTCCAATTCCCAGATCTATTACCTAGATTATACTCAAAGTAGTCAACATGATGCAAGCACCCACAGGTGCATAAATCTTAAACTAGTAAAATCTTCCTAAGTGAAGTCTGTTCAACACAGGAAAAATTCTCTGTGGAGGAAAATCAAGTGCAAAAACCTTGCGAGCTCTTCCTCCAAACTGCTGCTCTATCAAGCCATGTAGTTCTGTGAAAGAGATGAAAATTAATGCTCAGTGCTTTTTTGGCAAAAAAAGGAAGTCAGTTAATATGCTCCAGTCCCATTTCTTTTATACTTATACTGTAAGTGATCTTCAGCTGTCTCTGCATTTGTATTTGTCTTGGGTGCTAATATTTATTATCATGGAGCCCTTATACATCCTCACATCCCTACTGTCTCTCTATAGGAACTATCTGGGTCACTGTAAGAGCTGCGATTCACATCTCAATGCAACTAATTCCCCATCAGGCACTCTTCATTTATGACGCCCCCGACAGGCTGATGAGAAGTCCCAAATGTGTCATTCCACAGGTGCTTTTGAGTACTTGGAATATCTTCACCTGTTTTTCCATCAGTGCTTGTACTCAGTGCTTCTACACACTGCTCAGAACGGGTGACACGAGGGGCTGTGCTCAGAAATATCCCCATCTGTGAGCTGTGACAGGCAGAGGAACAGTCGGCCAGCAGAGCAGAGAGCTCAGGTGAGCATTACCTGCAGAGGATACTTGCAGGACACCCTCAGCAGAACATGTTCTAGTAATACTACAAAAGCAGACAGAAATCACACCTTGTAAAGTGATTTTGCTCATGGATAGTTATGATCTCTGGTCTGGAGGAGAACAATGAAGAAGCACCAGCCTGGAGACAGACCTGATAAATGCAGCTAGCCAAAAAGCCCTGTCTCATACACATGCCTTCTGTGACATCTACACTCACAGCAGGCTCTCCCTCCCATAGTTTCACACTACATGGATCAAGTAAGTGCTCCCTCTTTTGAATCATCAGGTCTGCTTTCCTGCATTAAGAAACAGGGCTCTTCCTCACCAGCCCAGTTATCATTAATTCCTACCACTGATCTGGAATATATAATCAACAGCAATAAAATGTACCCCCCACCCCTCCCCCAGATGCTTTAAAAACATTCCCATCTTCTTTTCCACATTCAAGTCAAGCACATAAACAATTTTTCTGCATTTTCATTTGTTTAAAAGGCTAATACCACTCCTGGGTTACCTGTGGGTTTTGTCATACACTTTGCCATGGCTCTGGTTAATACTGAAAGACGATATCCCAAGGCATATTCCCTCTGAGTAGAGACAGATCTTCAATGAAGCAAAAAGCAATTCAGCTGAGTGCTGTCTTCAGCTCACACAGGGGCTGCAGTGACAGAGGGGCTGATCAGGGCAAGAGTGGATGGCTTTGACCTTCTGAAGAGGTACTGCACCAACACTGGGATACAGCATTTATCCCGGAAGATGGGTGGTGAAAGCCCACACAAACCCAGACTGCGATGACAGGGACCAAAGCTGAGGAGAGGTTTGCTTGCTGGGTGTGTCAAACTCTCAAACAGCTGAGGGAGAGAATATCTGTTTCACTGTAAGCAGAATGGTTCACAGGTCTGTTATCTCTGTGAAAGGTCCACTTTTAAAAGGCTGAAACTCCTTATGCATTATGAAATTTGAAAAATCCAAGAGCATCCTCTGTTGCAGTATAACTCCATTATTTTTAAGCTTGAAGCGTCCAAAGTAAACTAAAAAAAAAAAACCCACTTAAGGCCACAGAAACCATGTTTGTCCACAATTACACAGCACAGATACAACCCAATTACAACAGAACCCTAAGCCATGTGTGCACGAGACATCCACTGCCTCTTGGCCTCAGGGCTGAGAACTAGTTCCAGCTTCTCTTTCACTTAGCAGTATAGGCTTGAACATGACAGGCCAAGACCTCCATTTGTTCCAACCATTTCTCTGAAAATCCCTAAAGGAGCAGAGTGACATGGTGAGCACTGAGGCATATGGAACTTGGAATCTGGGATACTGACCATGTAAATAACACATGAATAATGGGGTGGTTCTTCCAAGACTCATTTATCAAGGAACAAAGAAAAGTGCAGGTACAAGACTGTCATGTTTACATTCTCCAACAAAGGTAGTTTGACCTCAAGCTAACCACTTTATTCCATAAATGACAGCCTGAGAGAGCCTTTTTTCTAGCCCACATGCTAATCAGCTGGCTGTATGGCAGTGATTTCCCTGTGAGCTGGGATGCTCTCAGTGTTACTCCTCCAGGCTCAGACACACCTGATAAACTGCAGGTTTCTGTTAAGTGACCAATGTCACACACAGTCTTGTACTACAGTGCCACTAGATTTTGAATTAGTAACTTTAAATCATTATCATATCCTCCGCAGTTACAGAGTATACTTTGCTATCAAATTATGTTAAGTCTTACTTTTACAACATTTTTAATAAAAACACTTTTTTTGAAACCTTTGGCAGTGGTTCTTCAAATGTCTAAATTGCTCACCCGTGCCACCTCCTTGCTTGTCCAAGGCTCCAACATATTCAGAAGCCATGCACGTGCACATCCATCCCTTGCTCCATTTCAGAGACACCTCCTGCATCTGCACTCCAGGTCTCCTAGTGTAGCTTGTTTCTTTCTTACCCACAAACCATGTGGTAAGGAATTCTGTGGCCAACCTGCCCCATACACAATATGGCACTGAGATGAGGCACACTGGATTTCTCAAGGATTTCTCTGTGTGTCACAAATGTGGAGAGGGGTGCAATCCAACAAAACCCAGTCATTTTGCTCCTGCTGCAGCAGGACTTGTCCAGCTCATTTTGTAGCAGAAACACAGTTCTGCAGAACTGTTGTTTAATGCTGTCTCTGTCCAGGGCTATTTGTCCCACTGGATGCAACAGGCTTAGGTGTATTTAAACAATTCCCAGTGCCCAGACAGGCAGTCTTGCATCCATAATGAATTTCAAAAACCTGAGTTTCGCTAACTCTGCACTGTGGAGGGACACAGAAAGCACCAAGGAACTGCTGCTCTCATCAGTCATGTCTCTGCTGCAGATGGCATGGAGCACAAATTCTTCCAGTGCACTATGAACTTTGCTTGTGGATTAAAGAGGAGGAAGACCAGGAGAACAGAAATTACCTCGGAAAAGTCTGATGCTTGTTCTTTGGACAAACAGTTCAAATTCTGTAAACTACTAAAGTGACATTTAAATGTAAATTTAAAAAATCATCAGGTGAAAGGCATTTTAGTTGAAAGCAATTAGCACCACAGACTTGAGGGCTGTTTGCTGAGTAGTCATCCCTTCCAGCATATAAATCCCAGGTACAAGATGTATTGACAGTAGGAAAGCTTTGCCTATAAGGTTTTTTTCCTGCACTTCTGAACTCCACAGTGACAGGAAATCTCTGTCTCTGGCATGCTTCCAGCTTCATAACCATAATCCCATGTGAGTTCGGTTCCAGCTTTCACATGTCTAAGAAATAAAATAGTCAATTTGCTTGAACTAAGCAGAACAGTACAGTGCTAACAATTTGTCACCACTGACACACAAACCCAAAAATTGTAGGGGGCAGGGAGCATCACACAGCCAGCTTGTTGGGAAGGAAACAAGGCATACAAGGAGTCGTTGACACACTCCTGCTCCTTTGGCTACACAAATTGCTATGGAATTGCAAATAAGAGTTGGAATCTAAACAATGTGCTCTTATTTAGAGGGAAATTCTGAGAAACAAAAATCAAATAAAAAGCCCACAACAAAACCAAAGCAAACAAAATGAAAAATCCAAACCAAAACAACAAACAAAAAACACCAAAACAAAAACCCAAACCACCCCCCCAAAAAAAAATAAAAAGGGAAAACCACGTGATATATCTAAATGAATAACACAGTTTTGTTATTTTTCCTATGTACAGTGCATCATTGAAATTCGAACAGAGCTCTAGATATATTGTTGAAGCCTGTTATCTTTTGTCTGACAGGCTACTTTTTAATGCAATTGCACTATGTGCACAAAGCCAAAACTCAGAATTAAACACATGCTCTTCAGGAACCAGCAGCTCTGGTAGTAAAATAGAAGAAATGTCTAAGGTAGGAAATTCATTGTCCAAAATGAATGCCAAACTAAATACCTGAGACTATGATGCTGAGGGACAAGTGATGGAAAATATAATAAAATATGAATATTGTGAAGAAGAGAGTAATTCTCTGATGTTTCTCACTAGATATGGTATAGGGGACATCCAGTGAATTACTAGGCAGCTGACTGACAACAAACAATGAGGACTTTCCATACAGCATGTAATTGCAGCCTGGGACTTGCTGACTTGAGATGGTCTGGAGGCCAGACATGTAAAACAAATAAAAAGGTGACTGGGCAAGTTCATGGAAGGCACACAATTAAGCTCAATGATGCAGATGAAGTCCTTAATTTAGAAAAGATGTAAAGATGTAAAAGGGTGATGCCCAGAAAATGGAAGAACCAATGAAGGGAACTCTCCTTCAACAATCTCCCCTAAGTGTCTGCTGGTCACTATTATCTCTCTCCAGTGGCCTCAGTCCTCACTACACTTCTCTACCAAGTACCTGAGCAAGAAAGACTCTAGCTAAAACAAAATTCTTTTTTGGATGTATTTCAAGACATTGTCTTCACAGTTCTTGGAGACTTCCCAGTGCAGTCCATAGCATCTATGTCAGTATGGAGCAGAGTTGCAAGGCTTCACAGAAGATCAGTGTTCCGTGGAACTGGTTTGTCAGCACAAAGTCTCTCCTCTCTGTTCTGTTCTCACCTAGTACTACTGCTGGCATGCATGTCAGCCAACTTCATTCATACAATTAATCTTTCCTCTCCTGGGTTGAGCTGCTGCCATACTGTGTCTTGCTGGCACCAGCTCTCTGTACCTCTCTGTTAGACACTAAGGAAATACCTGCATCTCTCACTTTCAGAACAAATTTTCACCTCTGAATATCCTATTGTCACATCCCCAGGACATACTGGGCTACATAAAGTCCTGCTTGTGTTGACAGCTCTGAGGAAAAGGACTCAAGCCAGTTTGTCTGGCCCACAAAGTGTCTCAACCTTAATATCCTGTGGGGCTCAATCCTGCCCTATGCAATGCAGATCTGGTGGCCATTCCTTAAGACACAACAGTGGGATGAGTGGATCTTGGCTTTCTGAATGACCATGCTGAGTTAAACCTATTTTTCTACTGAAGAAGATTATCACTGAAGTGGAAACGTCAAAATTAACCCTCCCTACTTAGCATTTCAGTGCAAAACTGAAGCAAAACTCGTTAATGATAATCAATCACTGTATTTCTTCTGCCTTTAGTGCACAATAAGAAGTCACCTATAAGACAGGTTTTCCTTTTTGATCTGAGCGTCTGCCCCACCCCTCAGTGTAATTATGCTCTAATAAGTGAGCAGTGTTTTTTTCCTTCTGGTGCCTTGAATGAATAACATTAAACTTCCAGAAATTCACCTGTTTGTGAAGAATGCCACCCATGGAAAACTTTTGTTGTGAGTTTCTACAAACACACTTTGTGCAAAGAGGTTTGGGCAACAGCTGTGCTGTAAAACAGAAAATACGAATTAGAAACAGTCCAACCGTATCGTTGGCTGAAAAAAACTATTTTGTGTCAGATATCTGTCACCAGTAGAAGTAGTTTCTTCCTTCCCCTCCCAAGCCTACATGGAAAGTTTATCACCCAATGCCATTGCCAGGGCAGTAGTGCTAGGGAGCAAGCAATGGATTACATCCAAGTACAGCATGTGAAAGGTCGCTCAGGTGCATGTAGGAACATATGTATGCTCACGGGAACAGAAGGAAGGTTTCTGCAAGATGCACTGCTAATATTAACACCAAATTACCTCTGCAAGGAAGAACAATTTAAACATATTCAAGGGTTTTGCTGTAAGACAGTCATGCCAATGAAGAGAAATAAATTATTTGCAGTGTACCTGCAGATGTGTCTATGAACTATTTGTCTTAGCTGGAGGTACTTGGCAATTGAACAGCCAGTGTGACCCCAACCACCTGTGATAGCAGGGAGTATCACATGTGTCTCTCTTGTCATGGGCCCATCACTCACACTGTTTATGTAAAAAACTCTATGTAAAAAAGCTTAAATAAGTAAATGATGTATTTGCAGAGGCAACAAAGAGAACCATGCAACTTAGTACTTACATTTAGAAAACGACCCACATTTCCTTCTTTTGTGGCATCCAGTACATAAATACTTTCTTCATTAGCATTTTTGGAAAGCATCCCATCACTATCAGACTCCTCACAAAGTGCATCTTGTTTTGGCTGCCTGCTACTTTCTTTGCAGTCAGCTTTTAGGGGTGCATTGTTGGAAGGCCTCACATCACATGTGTCATCCAGCTCACCGGACTTGCCACAATCAACACCCTGCAGTAGCATACTCCTTCTTCTGCATCCTGCACTCTCTACACCAGCATAGCCAGTCTGTCCAATTTCCATCAGATGTTCTTCCTTCTGCTGCTGGGTAGATTCTGTCAATGGATATGTATGTTACTTCTCAACACCAGTTTAAGGCCAAACCCTTTCCCTTGTTTGGCCCTGAACTCTTAGCCATGTACTTTTCCCACATCCTCCAAAATCTAAGCAGCTTTCTTGCTATCTACAAGTACGCAACACATTTTTTCTATGTCTCTCATCAATTCTCCCACAAATTACTGTTTCCTGCTGTGATGCCTAAAGCACTTGCTCAAGGTGCCTCTGAGTGACCTAGTGTCTCACTCTTCTCAAATCCCATTCCAGACTGACTTTTCCCACATAGCATTTTTTATCATCCTCCACCTTAATTCCTATGAGAATCACAAACTGTACTTAAGACAGAAGCAAGATGCATGTGCAAATAGCATCAGTTTCACACTGCCTCTCAAGCTTGAGGTCCATCCACCCCAGTATAATATCCTGTTCAATTTTTATTGGCTGGAACAGGTACTGGGTGTGACATCTGCAAGGCTGACTTCCCCACAGCTGCAAAGTATTTGAGAAGCTGCTGTCTGGACAGTTCAACATGTCTCAACATCTACAGACAACATTATTCTACTCTAAAAACTGGTCTGCCCACACTGTCTACATTAAAGTCTATCACCTGATGGGACGCAACTGTACAAAGCATGCAGTATATAGAGCTCTGCAAACCTACTTTCTTTTCCTTTCTTTGTTCCACTGGTTAGTTTTGTTTTGCTTGATTGATGAATCTGAGAACTATCACCTTCATCTGAGCTGACACTGTGCACCTGTGTATCAAATGAAAAGGCTGTGACATGCAGCATGCATCTCTGGGCCAAGAGGGCACAACAAGTAGCTTTTAGAACTCCAAGGCTGAAGTTTCAAAGCTACAGTAATGCATAGCTGTGGCTGAATTAGAAAAGTTAATTCATTTACTGCAATGCAAAATTTATCTTAATTTCAATTTCTCCTTCATAATAAGCAGGAAAGAGTCCCCTAGTCAATAAGACATGTAAATAAGTGCTTAAGTCCCAACAATTTCACCAGAATTGTAAGTTGCTGAGCCAAATTCCAAACATGCTTTTTACACAGTTCCAATGAAATGACCAGATGTGGAAGAATTTCTCTTCTCCCATCACAAAAAGGCAATTTGTTACAGGACCTCTAGAATGGACAGCACTGCAAAATTTGCATGAAAATTCCATGCACATTTCTTAAGGGCAATGAATCCAGTAAAAACCCAAAGCATAAGTTTACACTAGTTTTCCTCCTTTGCATATGTTTGCAGGCAATGTTTCACGCTCATGACAGGTCAGGAGTCACATTCAGGTCAGTTCTCCCAACTCTGCCACTGTATGAGAAAACTGCATAGACATTGTGAAATTCCCTTCTCTCCCTGCTGTGCCATTCTTAGGGGAGATATCACAAAAATATTATCACTCTCACCCCCTAACTCTGTACACACGGGGTGCAGGGGGAGAATAATTACTTCAGGCTCTTGAGGAGTGTAAGTGAAGGGTGAAGAAGGGAAGGCCATGGGAGTAGATAATGCTGGTCTGGGGGAACACGCTGAAGGACTGGTAATGGAGAGGGGATGGGATGCAGTTTCCAGCATGACAGCCTAGCTCACAGTGTGACACAATCTCCTGAAGAAAGGTCATTAGAACTATCTAAACACACAAGATGAAAATGTCAAACTTAACAGACATATTCAACACAGTGAAAAATGAATCTGTTAAAGCCATTTATTACCATTTTTAGCTGGTGATTGCGAAAAACAAGTGTTTTGGTTCCAGGCTTTCTCATAGTTGCATTACTTGAGTTCTTTAGATGAACCCTGCACAGAAAGGTCAAAAGGAAATGATAAAAGACAAACAGACTCAAAAGTAACTCTCATAGCACGTATTTCTTTCTCTAACAGTCTCTATTTCCAGTCTCTTCTCTAGAGGAACTACATCAGAGCCTGCAGTCTGACCTCACCCCATCTTCTGTGAGTATTTTGTTTTTAAGAATTGAGAACCTAGGCTAGGTTCTCTATTGCATTTGTAAGAAAGCGGTCGCTCAAACTTTTTTGAGAGATCAGCAGCTGCTTTTACATACTTTTCCAGTTATCATGCTGAGAACCAAATTGTCTGTTGCATTACTATTATTATATCAGATTATCTCAAAATAGAGCACCTACAGAGCTTTGCCTTTTCCTGCTACTACTTTCAACAGTTTTGACAGCACAGCTTTCAACTAGGAAAACATTCTCTGCAAAAGTGAGGTGTTGTCAGACTCTTAACAGGGAAGGTTAAGGTTTCTGGCAGGAAAGGTTATGTTACAAATAACAAAAGGTTTAGAGACTGGGAGCAAAGGGCAGTACACCTGGTGGCTGATGTATTATCAAACCCTTCAGTGTCTTCGAGTATTTAAAAAAAAATTATTTCAAGTATATTTTATTAATTCTTTCAAATTAGCATTACCATTAATGCCCTGAACAGATCAAGTACACCCAAGAGATGAACTGAATTTCTAGAAAATGCCAAGTGGTACACACAAGTAAAATTAATACAGAGGGAAAACTCTGTCCCACTAAAATAAATAATTGGCAATTTAAAAAGAAGTTCAGAAAGAAAAAAAACACCACCTTCATATCAGGACATACTCTAAGTTATACAACAGAATTTCGAGATTAGCAGAATATTAGTTTTGTTATGCTTAAGCTTACTTTGCTAAACTTACAGGGTTGACTTATTTGCATTATTCACAGACTGAAACAAAGATTCCTGATTCTCAAGAATGTCATTTTTGTCAGTCTGCACTAGTTCAATCACTGAGTCTGAACGATAAAGGTCAAGTTTTCTTTTTTTGGAAGAAAAGTCATGGCCTCCATCATTCACTGCACTTTTCTCCTTCAGCTCTTGCTCAGCATCTCCCAGTACTTCAGCTCTGCTCATTAATCTACCTGAAAGAAAAAGAAAAATTTTCCTGTTTTTTTTTTTTTTTTTTTTCCCCCAGTCCTTGTTTGCTGAGTCACACTTACTATCACAGGTCAAATTTACATTAATAAATACAAGAGTATTGCTTGGGAAAACAAATTATGAATGCTGCCTATAATTCTATTATGTCAATATAGGCTGAAGTACAAACTGAATTAGACAAGGGCACGTAGTGATAAGACAAAGGACAATGGCCTTAAACTGAAAGAGAGCACATCTAGATTAGACAGTAGTAAGAACTTCTTCACTGTGAATGTGGGAGACACTGGCACAAGTTGCCCAGAGAAGCTGTGAGAGCCCCATCTTTGGAAGTGTTCAAGACCACTTTGGGTGTGGTCCTCAGCTACCGGCTGGCTCTAGTGAAAAGTGTCCCTGCCCATGGCAGGAATGCAACTAGATGTTTTTTAAGGTCCCTTCCAACCTAAACAATCCTATGATTTTATGGTTTTTACAAAAAAAAAAAAAAAATTAGCCCTGGCATAGGATGCACAAATTTGTGAGGGAAAAAAATCAGCAGTCTGAGATATCTTTTGCTCCATTTGTCTATCACCATCTTTTCACAGTTTTTCTTAATATTGATCATGTAGCAAGTTAAGATTACACTGACACACTTCTCTTCCAACCCTGTATTCCCCTGTTCTCAAAAAAAGATCCAGGGCACACACCATGGGAGAGGAAGAATTATGCTACATGTCTTCACAGTTCCCCTCCTGCTACCTGAGTAAGTACAAACAAATGTCCCCTTGTCGATGTCATCCAGGCAGCGGACACCCCAGCCCTTCTTTTCCGTGTTGAACACTTGCAGCCTGACTTGAATGCCATGCTGTACAACTCTGTTCTGACACATCAGCTTGTCACATCTGCACAACACACTACACTCATAAATCCTGTCAAGAGAAGAAACACAAAGCAAAATATAAATGGATGCATTAGCACAACAAAATTCCTATTATTAATTCCCCTTCCAAGCATCAATAAAGCAGTGGGCTGAAATGTAAAGACTGGCTAAAACTGGTTGTGCAGCAATGTTCTGAAGTGTGTGACTTTCTTGACTGCCAGTTCACTAATTTTAAGAGTCTGTCTGCCAGATTTTGGCATAAGTATGCATAAGACCACATACATTTTGACATAACAAATGCTATATTTTTGTTTTATAGGAGTAAATCACACAGAAACAGAAATCCCTAAGAAATACCTAATTTTACACTGGAACTGATTTTAGCAAGACAACATATGCCTGGACTTCACTGTAGCTGTCAATGCTAAAGAAGCATTTCCAAGAGGTCTCATAATTGTGCTTTTTTTGCATCTGTTTCTGGTGTCTCCAACAATCTTAATTCTCCACATCAGCCAAAAACTAACATCACACAGTGGTCTGAAAGAGGCTCCTCAAGCCTGTAGATTGAAGCCTTTGGCTACTGCAGAAAGCCTCCTTGCATAATTCCTCTCCTAGATGCCTGAAGTAACTGGTATCTTCTCCAGGCCACCTATTAATCCACATGAGCTGAATAAGAGAAAGGGCAAACACTTGAAACATTGGATGGCTTTGGAGATTCTTGGACGAGTCACCCATAACCAAATCAGGCAAAAGCAGCTGGCTGATGTGTCTTTAGGATTTTGGTCACTCTTCACACTTCTCCTGGACCTTGACCTAAGCTGTGAAAACTGTAGGACCTGCAATACAAAAGTTTTTTTTTTCCTCCTTTTATTCAAGACACGTTAATTTATATCATCCTGATCTGTCACTAAAATTGTGTCAAAAATAGAAGGTTTCGGTAATCAAAAACCTCCAGTTATTTTAATCCTGTGGCACTTAGACTTAACTGCTGTTTTGCTTGTATGCTCTTATTTTACTCCTATAGTCTTTCTTACCCACTAGAAACAGGTCCCTCCAGTCTTTTGTAACGGTATCCACAAGATCTTTTACTACTTGGAGATAGAGAAATTTTACTACAGCCTCTTGCTGTCAGCTGTAGGCATGCACATTTTGACCTAAAAATAAGAGTAAAACATCTCAGAATGGAAATGAAATAGTATAAAACAATAATAAATCTAGGTAATTTGAAATGCACTTGACTATACACACACATACACTGTACAGAGTGTACTCCGCCTCCACAAGGCTGTTTCAGGCACCTTTTTCTTAGTCTCTTGGCTGGTTACCCGTGCTTTACAATAACATGTCCTCTCCCCCCCAACCCCATTCTTCTGCCAAGCTCCTTAAATGGCACATGCAAACAGCTGAAGTACAACAGAAACTTACTATAAGCAGGACATAGTCAAATGGATCAAATGAATAAAAATCACCTCTTCTGGCACAGCATCCCAGCCTGTTTGCCACTACTTTATCTTCCTCCTTCCTTAGCCCCCAAAAAGTGAATAATTTTACACTGTGGAAAATTCAAGCAACAGTGCTTGTCTGCACCATTGTATGTCATGACAACTTCAGAGAGTCACAGTAATTGTGCAAATCCTAAACCCCAAAACTGCACATCAAAAGCATCTCAATTCTTGTGGAACTTTAGTGCAAAGAAGTGGCAGGCTGTGCACTTGCTGTTTCTCACCACTCAGCTGAAACTAAATTACTAAAATTAAGTTTCATTATACCAGGCTGTGATTTCAAGCTTTTGTTGAGCATGAGTAACTATGTTGCACAGCAGCATGTGCAACTGCCCTAGATGTCAATAATACAAAATGGATGTAACACTAAATAATGCCTATACAGAGGGATCAGACAAACATCCTTCCAGAAAGTAGACAAAAACAACACCAAACTTGCATATGGTAACAGTGGTAGGTTTTCACAGTGTCTGTAGCTCAGAGTTACTGGGATTTAGAAAAAGATGACAATGAGCAAGAGTATTGGAACTGCTCAGACCACAAACATAATCTGTAACCACTGAGTTTTGTAGTTTCTGTTTAGCCAAGGGGAAGGATGACATGCAGAGGTTGGGAATGGGGATGTTTCTTCACCTGCCCTCAGTAATCCTCTAAGTTCCAAATGATTTGATCCCTCCAGGCTTTCCCACCCCATCTACAGGATGCCATTTAACAGTAGGAACTGCAGCAGAAATTGTCAGGCAGGATCCTGCCATGAAAACTAGCCTGACTCTGCTGGCACAAGACTCCCTTCCCTACTCTTTTTACAAAGCCAAGATGTCTGCTTGTCAGCTCCACCTGTAGAAGAAACACTGCCAGTTTGAAAGAAAGGAAAAGGAACACAATAATTTGCCAGTTGATGGCTTCCTTCCCTACAACAGAGGGTGAACCAGTTGGAGCACCCAAGCTCTGGAGAAGAGAAAGACACAATGGTATCAGTCAACACAAAGCATGGCACAAGATACTCCAGCAGCGCCGGTCCTGTTTGGTACTGCAACTTCACACCCCACCACCCTGCTACTGAAGCATCATGTGTCACCAGCCTGAGATGAGATCTTTCTACCTACCTATCAATGCAGCCATCTGTGCAGTCACAGGAATCAACAAACAGGCTGGAGAGATTGTTGAGATAATATCCACGTGGCCACGACGACTTCCGATACTTGAAATAAGGCAATCTTGCGTGGTCGAGATTGTTATAGAAGGAGATGGGCACAGACTCGGCTCCATTGCTAATATCGAACTCAAACACAAGGGGCTCAGGATTCATGGTGTTCCTGCACAACAGCACATATGTGTTGAAGGAGAAGTGATCAACAAATAAGAACTTGCACTCTGTTTCAAACAAGTAATTTCGCACATCTCGAAAGCTTCTCAGACTCCGACCACAAGGAGCTTTGTAATTCACATCCAGTGGCTTCGAAAGGCAGTCTGCTTTTGCATGGCGTCTTTGAAAGTCAAACAGGATTGGGATCTTCAGAGGATTTTCACCCTTGTAGGAATCCACTGCTCTGTTGGCAAGACATGCACTAGAACACTTGTGGCTCTGATACTTCACATTTAAAGGTAAACCTAGAATTTTGCCAGATCCTTCTTTACTCCCTGAGCAAGTTCTTTCCATATCCTCTTTTTGGCTATTTGAAATAAATGAGGAGAAAAAAAAAAAAAAAGAGAAGCATCTTAGACAACCAGTGCTGTGTTGAGTTTTTTTAGCACTTCAGTATTTTTAGCCCCACTGCTAGAAGGCCCAAGGTTTCACATGTTGAAATTGTCCTAAGAACATATAAAGATATATTTAGTTGCATAAAAAAAGCTTCTTCCTAGAACTTGTATGCTAAAACACAGCAAGGAAATTAAAAAAAAAAAAAAAAAGAATTATGTATTTACCCTCACCTTTCAAATCAGTACCTGAGGCTAAATACTAAACACAGAGAGACTAAGTTACACACCTGACAATCTGTGCTGTAAGGAAAGCCTGAGAACTGATGCTTAAGTCCTAACCCTGATAACACTCGTAAACCTTTATTCACTACCACACCCTATTCTGCAACGTTCTCATATGGGAAATTAGACAAGTCTATCCAAAACCTCAGGTTTTCCACAAAGATTAAATTAAAAACATTTTCACTTTGAAAACTCACAGGATTCAAATTGGGCTTAAAACACTGACTTGAGAAATACAAATTTTAGAACTCTGTCAACTGCAGTAGAGAATATGTCAAAGAAGGAACTGAAATGAAGGCACTGACCTGTCAGAAAATTCTACAGTGTCTGCAGCATTGTCATCTGGAAGAAGAGGCTGCAGTTTGGGTTTGGTTTCCTGTGCACCACCTCCATTCAACTCATCACTTACTGAAAAAAATTGAATGTGAGCAAAATCTTCATCAAAACAGATTTCAATTTATGATTGAATTTACTTTAGTTACTACTGAGATAATTAACAAAACACATTACAAACAAGGCATTGGTAACTGTAGCTAACAAAAATCTTGTTGGTAAGTGTCCTACTGAAAAATCTTCCATGTGGTTTTCAAAGTGACCAGAAAGAACACGCACGTGAAACACTTTTACAGATCTCCCTTATTTTTAGAGATAAAAGGATGCCAAGCTATTACAGCCAGTGGAGCCATGCACAGGATAACTGCCCACAGACAGCTTGGGTTCATAAGGGCTTACTAGTTCAAATTCTCTTTCTGTGGTACAAGTACCATACATACACAAACAAACCACAAAAATACAAACCCAGGTGAGAGTTCACAGTTCAATACTTGAGGAGATTATTAATCAGCTTTTCCTCATTGTAATGCTAATGGCCTTTTCAGATCTATTTGATTGATTTCAAAGAAGGGAATTGAGCTTCTGACAAGTAAAACAAGACAAATTAAATCCACATACCAAACAAACACAGTGGAAATGCACGTACCATTTGTCAAGGTTAAGAGATCACCTAAATTAGCTTCATTCACCAGTGCCCAAGCCTGCCAGCACTCTATGCAAAAAAACCAAACCAAAACAGACAGTAAGTTGAATTTAAGTAATGATAATAGGTAAAACAAGGTATTAAATCCTCTATAGACACTTGTTTCTCCTCACTTGCTCACCTAGAGCATCGCAAGACTGATACAACTAGAAACATGCTGCACCACAGACCCGAGCAGACACATCTGGGAATTACAGAATTGTTACAGCTCACAGTAGTAGTTGTGAATTGGCACTGAATATCCATCAGCTTTTGGAAAGCTGCTGGAATGTTTCCAAACACACAATCTGGTGGCCTACAGTGGCAGCATATATAAAGACAATTAAGTGTAAGCTTCAACCTTGGTCATCAGACTGATCATCTTCAGGTTAGGAAGGGTTGCAACTTGGCAGACCAAATTAATGCTACTTCTAAATTGGTGGAAATGGCCTTCAGATAGAAGATGCAAGAGACCTGTTCTGTCTCAACCTCTTACCCCATACAATAAATATTACAAGCTGGCAGACAACGCTCACCAAAATCCACCTTAATATTTTAGCTTGAAACCTTTACAGAACAAAGCACAGAAAAATTCAAACTGAACTTTATCAGAGATTGCATCAGCTGGTGATTCAAGTTCAACTTTTATCTCTGCACCGCTTTGATATTTTGTCTTAACAGTCAAGATGTGGGAGCTCAAGAGCACAAGAAGTTGCACTACCAGTTAAGAGGAAGTGTTATATATATAATGCAGAGTGTGTGGCTATATTAGTTTAAAAGCATCTTACACCACTGCACATTTTCTTGCACAAAAAACCCCAATAAGATCCAGAGATTACATTTACATGGGTGACTTAATAAAAAGAAGAAATTTTACTCAATTAAATAAACCAGTAAAAAGAAATCTCTGTACTGCTCCAAACTTATTAGAATTATGATTTTAATGTATTTTGATGTAAACAGAGGAAGCTTATTTTTGAAAACCAGGAGCAATCTGAAATGCATTAGTGTCACATTTTGCTACTATTGTTTCATGTTATAATAGTGTCTCTGACAAAAAATAATACTGAGGTGATTATTATCCTACCCCAAAACTCAATTCTCTGACAACAGCTTGAAAGGCTAGAATTTCTGATGATAAAGAAAACATAAGGCACTGCAGATATTTCATTACTTCTCTAAAATAAATTATTTCAGTTCCATGTGCTTAAGAGCCATTCATTTTTGAAAAAGTATACAGGTGAAACAAGAAAATAGGCAATTGTACCTGAAATTGCTTTTGTTTTTTAAAGAAGAACAGACATTTTTTAGAAGTACTTAAAACCAACAGTTAAGTTATTAAAATTCAGAGATACCTGGATTATGGCAGATATCACACAGACCTACACAATGCAGGCCACAGCTACTGTGCAGTCCAGTTTAATCACTACTAGGATTTCAAACCTTGGTTTGTTGCAGTTCCATTCTTGATCTTTTCCTTCAGCAACAACAGCACATTTTGCAGCTGCTCAAATATGACATCCACTCTTCTACCTCCCAATTGTGTCCAAAATGTCTTCACATCACCTGAAATGCAAGTTACCATTTACAGCTCCTGAGAAGTCTAAAAACACTAGCTGTTGTGGTGTGTTTTGCTTTGAATCTATGTTTGACCCATTCTCCTCCCTAATCCCCTCCCTTCCCCAGTTGCCAATCTTCCCAAGTCCTTCACTAACCTTCTCCCTTCCAAGTTGTCAATTCTCCCTACTCCTACCCCTTTCTTCAGAGAGTTCTGTGTCTGTCTTGTTGACCTCGACACCCCATTCGTTACTCTGTATTATTCCCCTTCCCTGTTTTCCCTGATAGGCTCATAAACTATTTGCCCCACCTTATACTCCTCTCTTACCATATCCTCATTGGTTCACTTTCCTACACCCCACCTCCTGCGCCGCTGTATAAAAACTTCTGGTCACCACCTCCCCTGTCTTGTCTGGGAGCCCAGGAATAAATCCATCTTGTTCCACCCCAAGACCCGTGTCTTTGGTGTCTGTCCCTGTGCCGGAGCTGCCGATAACTGGGAATTGCAGAGCTCGCAGGGGGACGGTCGTGCCCCTGCCACAGCCACCCCGCACGGCACGCTGCAACATCTAACTCCTAGTGGACTATTCAAAGGCTCCCACTCATTTAATTTGGAGGCACTTCTGAAAAAACAATCAGTACAGCAGGATTCATTAAACCTCCATAAGTCTTTTCCTAAACCTAATCAAGAGAGTGAAACAGAAGTCAAGTAATGAACTGGAGTGGCTTCCAATGGTACACAGTGCTCCTTCAAGCAACTTTTTAAGCAGGTCACAAAGGGAGCTGTGGAAGCCTTTCTTCAAAAACCAGCAAAGGAGTCCCACTAAAAATTAATCACTGAAACTCACAAAAGTGACACAGGAGAATATTTTCAACTGAATATTTTACTTGACAAAAGACACTGGGATTTTTTTTTTTTTTTTAATAGCTGCAACCACTCTTAGCTGCATAGGCTGACTATCCTGTCCCATCAGTAGTTTTGGCATGTTTTTCCCTGTTTTGTCAGGGAAAAAACTTTCAAAATATTTTCATATAAAAGCAGTTTGAAGAATTTTGTTCAACAAGGGGTATTAGCTGAAATAAACACACCCTATATATCATGCTTCCTTCCTCTACTAGAAGTATTTATAGACAACATTTTGTTTAAATAAATGTTTTATAAGCCACTAGTTTAGAACCTTTGAGGTGCTAAGCCCATTCATGAAGGCTCTTGTTAAAACTTCAGCTGTGCATCTTTGTCAAGGACTGTGAAAAGGAAATATGTTTCAGTATGTCAAAAGATGATGACAGAAGAAAGAACCAGCTCTTTCTCAGTTAATGTTGCTCTTCTTCAAAGACCAAGCATAAGCAAATCTGTTCTCCTACTCCATTTCTAGAGGTGGAGTCACACTGTCACACAGGTTTTACATTCCACTTTCAGACAGCAAATCTCTGTTGGCAAATGTGCAGGGATGACACCTTCTCAGCAGTCAAGAAATACTACATTCTTATCAGGCTGCATTCTTATATAAAAAAATATTCCTTCATTTTTTAACTTCGTAGAGAATGACTTCTGTTGCCCAGGATACCAGAAGCCCAGTGATGCTATGGCAGTGTGGTTACTCTCAAAAGCCCCATGACAGCAGTGAAAGAAGTGACAATCTTTTGTCACCACAACCCCTGCTGCTCGTGTCACCAGCACCTAAAGGCATAATACTTAATATCAGCAGGCAATGATAAAAGTACTTTTTCTTGTGAAATAGTCTGATTTGGCATTATCTCTTGACAAAATTTAATTATCTATTATATTAACATTATTTTTTTTAAACATGTGGAAAGGTTAAAGTACAATTACAGAAAAAGCAACAACAATTTTTGGAAACCTACAATACTGGTCCAAGAGACACCACCTGCCCTGTGCCATTCACACCGTTTTGCTGTGCATGACATTATTACAACTTTAAAATAACAAAAACTATATTTAATATTTGCATTTAAAACAAAAATTTAAAAATACATTCAATTAAAAATAAACATCTAGAACGTGTAGTAATAAGTTTCTCCATTGCAGATTAAAACTGCTGTCCTTATTCATTACATATTTTCAAATATTTCCATACATTGATTAAATCTGGATAGCACTGGTGGATGGATTACTTTAGAGGATGGGTGACAGAACAGCTTCTTGTTTCTGGGTCCACAGCTATAACAATTTGTAGGCCATAGGGGAATGAAACACTCACCTCGGAAATGACTCCCCAGTTCTCATGCTGTAGTGACCCAAAACTCCAGTAGCAAAAGCTTTGCTTTGCATGGAGAAGCAAAGATTGCATTTGAAGATGACAGTATAATTTTCATTTCAAAAAATGAAATGTCCACACCACTAATCTCTCCAGTGCTAATGCTGCTATCACCAATCACAGCCAGAAGGACAGGGAATGAGCAGCCACCAGATACATCTACCTTGTCATTATTCAGAACCATCTCTCCAGCTGATAGATCAGGGTGTGTACTGGCATCTGGCTGGAGGGATTTTCTTTTCCCTTTATAGAATCATTGTGACCACATATCTCTTTTCTTACCCAGCATTGTGCAGGGGAGTGATGCTAGAGCAAGCAACAAGCAGCCAAGGTCAGGGTTTACTACAGCCACCAAACAACCTGGGTGCGTGTTTCCTGTAGTGCTGCCGACAAACCTCTTACACCATAAAAGGCAAAGCTATTGTCTTCCAATAGTAATTTTCATATCAGAATGACTGCCAAATACACACTCCTTTCCTCTTTAGCTCCATTAATCCAGATTACACTACCTTCAGTGCTCTCCTCCCTGGAACTGTTAAGGTTCTCCTCTTCAAAGGAGTCACACAGCACTGCAAGAGGTACAGAATGGACAAGTAAGAGATCGGGTGAGAAATTAAAATAGTTGTAGCGACTCAGCTTTTCAAAATTTATACACTACAGTGGGTATCAGGAGGAGCACAGTGTGAGAATATGTTGTGTGGAATAGTTATTCCCCTTTCAAACAGTCATCCCACGCCTTGTCAAGATCTAGCTGAGGAACACTCAAACAAGCAATGTGAGGAAATTTTTTTACTTAGGTCATGTCTTACTGTCTTTGAGGCATGAAGCTGTCACAAGATGACCCAAACTTTCCAGCACATTCAGTTGAGCTTACACAACTCCTTTGCCCATTAACCCACAGTTGTTTTTTTGTTGTTGGTTTTTTTTTTTTTTCCTAAATTGATGTGCTCAGTACAGCAATACTATAACTAAATCAATTTATTTAGAGGGAAAAAAGGAAAGCTTTTTTTAGGTAAATAAATTACTGATTCTGTTTGTTGACAAATGCAAGATACCCTTCACTGCAAGAATACTAAGAAGTAAGACAACATTCTTCAACCACATTGAAGATTCCAAATTTTTATCTCCGTGAATCACGGAATCAAATAGGTTGGAAAAGACCTCTGAGATCATCCAGTCCAACCTATGACCGAGCTGTAGGATGCCAACTAGACCATGGCACTGAGTGCTACATTCAGTCTTCCCGTAAACACATGCGGGGACGGTGACTCCACCACCTGCCTGGGCAGCCCATAATGACACAGACAGCGTAAAACATGCCTTATTTACGTTAGCTACTTAATCTTTTCTGTGCCGTAACTGAAAAAAGAAATCAACCCCAAGCCTTGCCATTCATTCTGGGTTCTTCATTTAGTTGAACGGGAAAATAGGTTAAGACAGTTGATTCCTAAAAATGTTTATTGCAAAACAAATGGCTGCCCCAAACACGCATATATATATACGTATATATATATATATTTTTAAAGGCTTACTGCTTTTCTGTTCCATGCTGCGGGGTCGCTGCCCGGAGAGCTGTGCCGCGCCGGGGCGGCGCCGAGCCCGGCTCAGGTCGGGGTCTCGCCGCGCTCCGCCACGGCTGCAGGGCCCGCGCCGAGGGCCGGCGGGCAGGGGCCGGGGCGCCTGTGGGGCTGGGAGGCTGGCATGGGGCGTGCCTGCGGCCAGGGGTCGGGCCCCAGGTCACTCCCGCACCCCTCGGGGCCTCGTCCCGACCCCCGCCGCCTTCTTCTGCTTCTTCCCTCCTCCTCCTCCTCCTCCTCCTCCTCCTCCTCCAACGCTGCACGCGCGCTGCTGGCCGCCAGGGGGCGCAACCCCGCCGGGGAGCGCGGGAGCCTGGATGTGGGCGGTCCCACAAGAGGCGGGGCCGCGCGCACCGCCCGTCTCTCTCTTCCCATTGGTTGCAGCGGCAGGAGGGGCGGTGGCACCGGCCAATGGAGGCGCAGGGAGGGCGGGGCCGCGGGCGGCGGAGAGGCGGCGCTGGCGGGGCGGGGGCACGGCCGAGGGACTGGAGGTGCGTCCGCCATGTTGGAGGGGCGGGCCGGGGGCGGGCTGTCCGGCGTGAGGGGCGCCGGCGCCATCTTGGGCCCGGGAGGAGAGCGGGGAGCGGCCGGGTGGGCCCGCTGGTCGGGGCGGGCTGCGCTCTGCTCATTAATGTGTCGTAAATTAAAGCGTTTGGTACGTGCGCCAGTTGCGTAACCTCCTTGCTGGTCTCTGCTCTTCTTCCTTGCTGGCTGCGCTGCTGCCGTAGGAAGCGTTGAATTGTTGCTGCCCTTTTCGAAATGTGAAAATAAAGTTTTATATCTCTCTTTGAAATTTTCAGCTGCGTTGCCTTTGCGAGTGTTGGTGTTGTGGCTACGTAAAGATGTTTTTCACAGGGGCAAAAATATAACCTACTCTTAAAAAGCGGGGAGGGTGCTTTTTTGCTTTTTTGTCGCTTCTTTTTTGCCACCACTTTAAAACGGTAGAGATCAACATAATGTGCTTAAATAATTGGGAAGATATTTCCAATCTTGTAGATATTGCCAATTTTGTCGCGGGGGGTAGAAATGTGATTATTCTGGGGATGGGAATGCTGTGTTTACATGACTTAGAGCTCTCATCTGACCCAAGGTCCTGCGGAAGATTTTGATGTCTAGCATCTGCTTTGTACTTCTATAAAACCTTTTAAATGTTTACACAGACGTGCCTACATCTGTGGCTGAAGTTCAGCCCATGAGAACTGCCCTGCTCCCCAGACAGGAATGAGACAACTCACAGCAACATTCCTGGGAAGAGAGTGGCTCAGCACTCCTGATGTGCTGGCAAATCTCTCAATAAAATAGCAGTGTATTATGTTTTATAAAAGAGACTTCTCCCTTGTAATTGTTCCTTTTAAAATTAAGCACAAGCTTTTCTTGCTCTTGGAATATTCTGCATTATGAGATGATGCTTGCAGATGAATCTTGCTTTGCTGAATTATTAATACACGTGCTCGTGAATACTGAATGTTAGGGAACATTTGTGGCTTTACAATTGTATATATGGAATAAACCAAATACAGAGAAGATGGAGCCCAGTGCTGGAAGAATCTGAAAGAACATGACTGCATGCTTTGGAGAAATTTTGAATTTTATGAATATATTGTAAAGTATTAATAGGTTTTGCTTGCTGTTTGAAGCAAAAAGAATGGGGAATACATATTTATTAAAGACTTAGGACAAAATTAATGAGGCACTTTTGAAACATGCTTGAGTTTCCTTCATTTTGCTTTTAGCCTGGAATTGTAATATAGGCTTTCTGCAACATAGCAGCAAATTCTGCCAGTGAGCCAGTAAGCTCAGTTCTTCCCAAACTTGTTAGGTGGCAGAAGCTCACAAGCAATGCTGATCTGACATCCCAGCAACCTGCCCGCAGCTCTCCTCCAGCAGCAGCGTGGGCTTCCTGGGGCTCTGCAGTCTGGATCTGGACTGGCTACCTGTACCCAGAGGTGAGAGCAGCGCTCCCATGGGGCGGCAGAGAAAGGACTGACTGTTCTGGTGAATGGTGCTGTTGACTGAGTTGCTGAATTACGCTTTCATTACATAGTTCTGGTCATATGTTGACAGTTAAAATGAACAATTGCATAGGCAGACAGAGTGAAGTTGCTCCTTGGAGTGGGAGGAGGTGAACCTGTTCCCAAAGGAATTAATCTAGTTCTCTTCTCCAGGGATGTTTTTTCACCTTGAATGCAGTGGGGATTTGGGGTGTTCCTCATATGACCAGATATAATTGGGTGAGGTACAGACACACCAGTCAAACTCCAGCTAACAGCAAAGCAGTCAAAGCCACAGACTTTTGGAAAGTCATGGGCATTAAGAAAATAGTTTTTTAAAAACTCTGACAGAGCTTTTTGTTCTTTTCTGATGGGCTTGGCTCTTTGTTTTATTGACTCTTTCTAAAGTGTCGACATGTCCATTGAATACTTCTGCCAGCTCCTGCTCTGTCACATTCTCCCTGTTACCCTTGGTGATTTAACTTGCCCCCTTACAGATGAGTGTCTGCACTTCATCCTTTCAAAATGCAACTCTAATATAGTCTTCTCCTTTATTACATTGATTTGTTTGTGTGGTTTATATGTAGTCTCTTGCTATCCACGTCTGTCTTCAGTAAGGTAACAGAACAGGGAACAGGCAATTCTGTGCAAATCATAGATCATTCCTACTTTACAAATTGATTACCAACAAAATGGTCTTAGTGAGGCAGCCTTTGGTTTATCTTAGAAATTTTGCTGTAACACATCACTGTCTATGAACACAAAGGCTAATATTCCCCATAGGTATGTTGCTCACTAATTGGACTCAGACTATTTACAGGTCCTCAGTATGTTTTGTTACTATGTTTTGTAATTCTTTTGCTATTGTAGATATCGTAGAAGGTTATTTGGACTTTTTTCCCCAGGTATTAAATGAAAGAAAGAGGAGATTATGGGTCTCTGAAAAATCTGTAAATTAATTTTGTTCTTCCTCTGGTATAAGTGTGTTTGCATTCTTGGCAACTAAAAGTCTAACAAATTGTCTGTTTGAGAAGCCGATGTTCTAAAATCATAGGCTGTTATAGTCCTGAGGGAATCTTAAAACACAGGCAGAGACTGGCTAGGAAAAGGAAAGGAAAAATTTGTGTCACTGTTTTAACAATAGACTTCTTTCATGTGGAGGACCTAGATGTCTGTTAATTACTAACTGGCTTGAGTGTTTTGGAATCTGGCCCAATATGCTGAAACTCTTAACCATCCACTGGCTGGCATTTTCTCCAAGGTCTGCATTTGGAAACTGGTAATGCAATGGATTTCATCTTTACTGGCTGTTTATGTAGCAGAGGCATTTTCAGTTTCAGCCATGTTTCTGTCTTACAGTCTTGGTGTTCATTGCCAGCAAAGATTCCAGGCAGCTGCGTGAGCACAGAGAGCAAGGACTGGTTTGGATGTTAGATTATGTCGGACCAAGCTGAGCAGCATGTATTGCCTTTGCTGTGCCACACTGATCAAGACCTAAAACTCCACCCTCCAATTTTGGGTGATGTGAACGAATTAACAAGATCTGAAAACCTATGATTACAAGTGCACTTGAAAGGGCATGAGATTTCTGGAAACCAGGCAGTAGATGGAATATGATGAAAGGAATCCAAAATAAATGGATGGCTAAAACCCTTTTTATCTTCATTTTTCCATGTGAACACAGCAATTTATTTATCTGAAATAAATTTTCACTGGTACTTTCTGAAGTAAGGCTTGTGGCTGTAAAGTATTCTGACCTTTTTGATGGCTCTTTGTGGGTTTGCCTGCAGGGTAAAGTATACACACCAACTATTTTCATTACATGAACACATAGGAGACATTAAGCAATCTGCAAGAATTAATGAATTTGTGGTGATCCCACTCTGAAGAGATGATTTCTGGGGACCCCTACAACTTCATTGTAATTTGCCTTTTGACTGTTAGATCCAAGTGGAAGCCACTGCCCTTGTGGTGCCAGCTGATAGAAGGTTGATGGGCTGGTGCTGGTCTTGGTAGCTGCTGTGCAAAGGCTAGAGAGTGCCTGGTGTAGAATTGGACTTGAACTAATAAAAGAATTGGACTTAAACTAATAAAGGTCATCCAAAGGAGGCGTAGGGCAACAACCTGAAGTCATTATTGTGGGTGGTGAAATAACCACTTTCAAATAAAACTGAAATGTGAGGTTTCAAATGTACTGAAGGGAATTTGACTAAAACCTTAGAAAACAGGGGAGGTATGTGTCATGGTGTGGAGGCTCAACAATAGAGCTCTTCATAGGAATATTCTAGACTAAATGGTCCTTAATCATGAGTTTTTGTGGGGAAATCAATTTAGTTGAAGAAAATTCTAATTTTTTATTTGATTTTTTTTCTTAATCCAGTTCAATGTGCTGCATTGGCACTTGGTTTAGCATAATATTGTAGAGGTGTGAAACCAACAGTAAGGTGTGAGGAACAGGAGCAGCAAGAATGGGAGGAAGTATTGTCCTATTAATATTTATTTCATTTGGGTTTGTTTATAAACGTTTTGAAGGGTCAGGGAAGCCACAGTCCCTGGAACGTTTAAAAGTGGTACTGTCAAAGAAAGAAACAGTCCAGATGTTCCTGTGCTTCTTGGGCTGCCCTGTTCCTTTGTGTCATTACTCATGGGACTGGTTGGGATTTAAAACCCCACCCCCCAAACCCAAACAAACAAAACCACAACCAACCAACCAAAACAAAAACAAAAACCAAACCAAACCACAACAAAAAGAACAAAACCCACAAAAACCCAAAACAAACAAACAAAGCCCCCCACCCCCCAAACCAAACAAAAATCCCAAACAAAACATAACCAAAAAAACCCCACAAAAACTTGTTTGGCTCAGCTATACTTATCTGAATAACTTTCCACATCTCATTTCCTGTGCAGCCACTTGGTATTTGTGCTTTTCTCAATGAATTGGAGGTGGCCCAGGTGCAAAATGAGCATCTGGAAATGGATGGATTGCTTTCTGATTTTATTGTTGGTGTCATTTATCTCAGTTTAAAATATTTGAGCCAACTATTTCTATAGTATGAGCAAAGTAGTGGTATGGGCAGAATACTTACTGTATCTAGGTTATTTTGGGTGTTTATCACACAGCAGAACCTGCACCTTTCTGTGTTCTCAGTTCGGCTGGATCAAAATCCCCTCCTGCCGTTTTATAGACAGTGGAGACAAATGGGTTTTTCTTCTGAGTGCTTGCCTTTAATTTTGTTATTACCTTTTTTTCCTGTAAAATTCTTGAATTACTGGAACCAAAGAAGTTGTGTTGAAAATTCTTTCACTAAGTGAACCGTGGGCCCAAATCTTTGTAACCTTTTCTTCTTAAAAAAAAAAAAGCCCTTTTTCTCAATAAATGTTCCTCAAGTGACTCCAGTGTATAAATGTGGCATTCCTCTCACAGAAGTGGATGCATATGCATTTGTTACAAAGTAATCACAATTTAGATTACATTCAGGGTGGCATTAAAAAAAATCTTTAATAAGATTAAATAAGATTCTCAAGACATAAATTTAATGTGCATTTAAAAAAAATAGCCCATCAAACACTTCTGTTTATCATAGTGAAGTGTGTGGAATTGGTTTCTGTCCAGTTTGTGATGAACCAGTTACTTGAGAAGTTGTTTGGTAGCATAATTTGCCTTCACTTAAAGTGAAGGATTGTTTTTAAGAATGAAATTATTTTGTTAACAAATTCATAGCAAAGTGTTGTAGCCCTTGCATTAACAGATCAAGATGTGTGGTTGCAACCTGGGTGTAGAAATCAGCAGAAAGGGATGAGATTTTTTAAAACTATTTTTCCTGCCACATATTGTAGAAATATTTTAAAATTGAACACCCCTCCTCAGAAAAAATGTTAATGATTGGATGGATTATTTTTTACTTTTAATATTTATTATTTATTTTTATTCTTTTAATATTGTCCGTATTGATAGAGGTAGTTCCAAAAATTTCTTGTGATTTACATTTAGTAAGTCCTCCACACTACTTCTCACTTCTCCAAAAACTGTCTGTTAAGTTTTCATGGTGCCCAACAGGCAGATCCACCTCCCTCTGCAATCATATCATTCCTAGAACTGATGCAAGGGAGGTGATGGCAGTAAAGGCTAGAATTCTCATTTTGACAGCAATGTGTCCTTAGAGAAACTTGATAAATTGTGAAACAACATTTAAAAATTATTTTACAGCATGAGTTAAAAACACCCTGTCTGCTATCATAGTAATGTTTGTACCTTGCTTTTCCTGCTGCAAGAGACAATAATTAAGATGGAAGAAAGTACTGCTGCATAACTGGATTTTGAAATGTGGGGACAGTTGTGTTGCAGCCATTGGATCTTTGGGTGATCTTTCTTAAAGATCCTGTATCAATGTAGCACAAAGGCACTTGTACACATTTATACATACAAATGTATTGCAGCAAAAATACAGTTTGTTTGCTCTTAAGTGTGGGAAGGAAGTTGTGTGCAGCTTTGTAAGTCAAGGCACTGGAGACTGCTGAATATGGAGAGATGAATATTTTGTGGGAAAGGTTAATATCCAGCAGCTGTAGTGTCCCAAGAATTCAGCTCTTTGTTTTGCCTATTTTCATATGTCAGTAGGGAGTCATGGCTGTATCAGCTTTACCCTCTTCAAGTGTACCTTCTAATTGTGTACTCTCACTTTCTGCAGTTCACTGGCAGGCAGACAGCTCTCTTTCACTTCTGCAAATAAGCAAAACTTATTTTGGACTACCAGTTTATGGTGGTCATTCACTCCCTGTTTCTTTTGGCTACAATAGAAGCTGTCTGCAATATATGATTTATTTGTTGTTAGAAATAAGCACCAAATTGAACCTTATAGAGTGGGTGCAGGACTGCATGCTGGTTGTAGTTCTCTGTTAGGGCAAATATTGTGTATATCATATAGTTCCTGGGAAAAGTCTGTGGGGGGTGGGAGGAGGCATAATTTTTATATTTTTTACAGATTAGTTTAAGTAAGAGAGCCAAACAAGGCTGAACATTCTAAATAAAAGCTTATTACTTAGAAATTGTGTTGACCTTTGGTTCTACTTCTTATCTGCAGACCATTAATAGGTCTTGTCTTTTACATTATAATCCATGTTTAGCTCTGTAGTTGCTTTCAACATCTGTGCTGCTCTATTGGCAAGCATCACACACAGCCTTGGACAAAATATGGAAATAAAAGATAAAGTGCTTTAGGCTGAAGGCAGTTTGAATGATGACAGGTTTGAATGTACTCTGAGGTCAAGCTGGCTTGGTGGTCTTCAGGTTGTGTGTTGTTTGGAAAAGCTTTTCCCTTCAAGAAAGCAGCATTAATGTGAGGAGATACACTCCCCTCCAATTCTTCAGTGTTCCACCCTTTTGTCAGGGAAAGGAAGATGCTAGCAGAGAATTTGCTGAGATATTCTTATGCTATTCTGGTTGCTTGGGCAGCAGTTAAGTGCTAGTTAAAAATGCACAGAGATGTTATCCATTGTTTTTCCTCCCTGACTGAACTCCCTCCATGCTGTAAACGGTCTCCTCACCAGGGTTCCTAAGGTCTCAGCACAGGTTATCAGGCCATGGGAGAAGACTGCTGCAAAAACTTGAGGGACTCAGCAAATCTCTACTGTGCAATGTGATGTGCTGCTACATCAGTGACACACTTCTAGCTGCCTACAAGAGTGTCTCCCAAAGCTGGGGAGTGGCTGAGGATGTGGGAGCACGTCGCTGTCTGGAATGGATACAAATACAAAAAGAGGGTTTCAACAAAGGGAGAATAATGTCTTGATTTAGAAATGGTTCCAAGGCAGCAGCCAATATATAGGAATAAGTACAATTAAGTTTTATAAAGATGATAACAGAAAACTCACTGGATTTTCTTTAGGATTTAAGGCTAATAAGAAGTTTAAAAATACCAGGAGCAAAAAGAACAGTAACATTTGTCTGATGGCTGTGCTAAAGTTGTCAACAATGATGTTGAAAATACAGAACTGTTCTATATTTCTGTAGTGAGAATGAAGATTAATATCACAAATAATAACGTAACTGTGAACAAATCAATCATATTCTAGCAGTAATTAAAGACTGAAAGAACACTTTTGAAAATCTATGGAGGCTGAGAATTTTTTTTAATGTCTAATGTAATACTCTAAAAATTTAAGGATTGTAATGAAGCAAAATATTCAACATTATTAATAGGAAACATATTATAAAATGTTTAGTATTTCAGTTAGATTATGGGTTTGATGTATTCTAGCTAAGAAACTCAATCTTGAAAATATTACTGTCAATAAGAATATTTTATTGAGATATAATTTTTTTAGTAATTGGATGTTTGTTTGCACAAAAATAAAATCCCCAAATGAACACACCGTTGAAAGAAAATGCACAAAACTTTCTGACAGTTTTATCTAGGCCACACAGAGTAGAAAGATGACAAATAATGGCATAGCCTCATGTATTTGATTGAATCAAAGAGCATGTTGGCTCTTTCAAAAGATGGACTCAAAGCTTTGTGAAGTTAATAACCATGGGAAGAGATGGATATGCATTCCTTAAAAGATGAGGAACAGTATCTGAAAATCCTTCAAGGTGTCAAGACTCATGCAACAGGCAGTGGACAAGACATTCCTTGTAGTGATAGCCAAGAGCTGACAGGAGTTGAATACACTGAATGCAGAGTGGGAGATTTCTTTTGCTGTATTAATGATCTCACTTCC